GGGAGGCCATCTCTAGCTGGAGCGGGTCCTCGCTGAGACCCACAGAACCCCGGGCTTCCAAACCAGTGAGTGAATGGCTTCCGGGCCTGGAGGAGAGGAGAGTACCTAATGGAGTACAGGGTTTCCCGTAGAGGAGACAAAAATTTTAGAATTAAGCTGGGTGTGGTGGAGAACACTTGTGATTCCAGCACCATGAGGTTGAGGCAAGAGGATCACAAGTTCAAACTCAGCCTGGGCAATTTAGCAAGACCTTGTCTCAAAATAAAAAGCAAACTATGGGCTGAGGGTGCAGCTTGGTGCAAAAGTCCTGGGTTCAGTCCCATGTACAGACAAAAAGAAGGAATTCAATCAAATGAACACTCTAAGTGACACAGTGGTTGGTTCACCTGAGTGTGGTTAACTACATGATACATGAATTTCACCTGAATTTTTAGAAAAGAAAATAACTAGCAAGTATATTGGAATATTTCAGTATTTCCACACCGCAACAGGGCTGAGGAATGAGCCAGAATGTGGGGATCATAGTTACTGGGGAGGTGTCTGGGTGGGAACGGCCAGTGTCTGCAGAGCACCCTTTAATAAGTGAAAAAAGGAATTTAAATTGAATAATGTGGCTTGGGGGTTATTACTTTTATTTATATAACTTAATAAGTTTATGTTTCTGGGGGAAAGAGTAACACCATGCCAATAGGAGGGTTCGGTTAAGAGGATTCAAATCCTAAGTCCTTTTCATTTCACCTATTCTCTCTGGAAATGAAATTTCCGTAATACAAGTTCTCTAAAACTAACACCTACAGAACTGTCACTCTAAATGAAGATTAGATTATCCTGGCCTGGGTCCTTACCAGCTCCAGGGCATGGGAGGAAGAGTTTTGCCTGCGTCTCCTGGGACCCCAGAGCAAGGCCCTGCTGGGGAGTCATCGTCCGCCCAGGCGCACTCAGGCCACTGCAGGGCGACCTGGGAGGCCACTGTGTCCAGCGTCGCACAGCCACAGGCACCGCGTCACCAACCTTCACACAGGGAAGGGGCCACCTGCTCCACGCAGTGCCTGGCATGGTGGCACAGGCTGGGGCGCGGCTCAGGCGCTGGTGCTGCCCTCTCTTCTTCAGCTCTCCACAGCTCTCTGGGGACCTGTGGCCAGAGAAGAGGACGCAGGGCATGGTCACTGTGAGCTGGAGAAGGACAGCTAGGCAGGGCACTCTGGGAGGCCAGCACAGCAGGAAGGGACCTTCAAGCTCAACCTGGGCAACTGAGAGACTTAGCAAGACTGTCTCAAAAATAAAATAAAATAAAATAAAATTAAATTAAATTAAAGAGCTGGGGGTGCAGCTCAGTGCAAAGGTCCTGAGTTCAATCCCTGGTGCACAAACACACAAACACAAATCCCAAGCAGACAACTTCAAGAGAGACACGGAAACTCAGCCCACTCCCGGGAAGGGTGGCCGGGCGTGGGCAGCTGCTCACTTCTGAGGGCCTCAGGGCCCAAGAAAAGTGCCAGACGTGACTTATTCTTAGAGATGCCTCTGCTCAACAGTGACGTACAGAGGAACCGCACAAATGGGCAGCTTCTGTCACCCAAAGGAACTCATTTTGGGAGGAGCTGGTTCTTGTGGAACCCTAGGAAATATCAAATAAGCCTACGTGGTAAGGACAGCCACCCCTCTCCATCACAGTGCAACACATCTACCTTCCAAACTTATTTATGATTTTCTGCAGGGCTGGGGATCCAACCCAAGGCCTCAGATTGCCCCCGGCTGCCCTGGCACTGGGCTTTTACACCTCAGCCTCTGGGGTCCGAATCTGAACCTAGGTTTGCCTGATTCTGCAGCCTTATTTCCTTCAGCTTTGCTGTGCTGTTTCTTGGCGAACGGGAACAGAAGTGTGAATAAGGTCCAGCAGACGGGAAAGACTCCGGACTGGGTAACGTTAGAATAAGCCCAAGCCGAACTTCCATGTATCGTGTTCCCCACTCTCCGGGGCTGCACCCTTGCCCCTCGAATACGTGACTCTGGAAAAGTGGGTTTCCTAGGGAGGAACAGGTCAGGAAGGTCAAGCCCTCTGTTGAAGGTCAAGCCCTCTGTTCAAGGTCACACAGCTGTTAAGGAGGTGAACTGGGACCAAAAAAGACAGAAACTGTCTTCTATATTGTGATTAGTCAGTTTAATCCTGATACAGTGGAACTAAAACGCTATGCATCAATGTCTTTGAGTGGCAGTGGCACTTGGTCCTCAGGAAGGGAATGGTTCTACCGATACAGCTTTCTCCAGAAGTACTGTCATAGCAGGTTTGTGGCCGGAAAGCTGCATTCCTCAGTTCCCTCACAAGCAACGCCAGGGTTGGCTGGAAGGTTTCCAAGGTCCGGTCCAGCTCCGGCATTGTGTGGGTTTCCCAGGGCAGTGGAGTCAGACGTGTTCAGGGCGGGCAAGGGCACGCAGGAGGGAGGGGTCCTCCAACGCAGCCCAGGGAGCCGGGCCTGTGGTGCCCACCGCAGGACCTGTCTCCAGGGTGGAAACGGTTGCCCGTGCACTTGCAGAATGGACAGGAAGTACTGTTTTGGATGCTTTAAAGCTTTCCACACACGCTCGCCTTGTGCCTGCTCTTCTGTGACTCAGCGTCTGTTGTTAGTGGTTCCGGTGACCCCTGTGGAGTTGGCTTCCGTTACTGTGTTGACTTCCTTCTGGCCTCCCACCCGGCTCTTGCTGTGGGGAGCAGCCTGCGCTCCCCGCTCTGTGCGGGGTGCTGGGGACCGGGAGGGCTCCCCCAAGGCCCCGCCCACCGGTGCCAGGCTCTGGGCTCCATCAGCTCAGCGCTTCCCCACTGCAGCGCACTCCCAGGACAGCGACAAAGCGGAACCGTTCTCCGGCGTTTACACACAAGGAAAGTGGAAGAGAAGACTGAGCGACCTGTGGGAGGTCAGAGCATGTGGCAAATTCAGGACTAACGTCCCGCTCGCCACACTCTCAAAATCCTATGTTCTTTTGAGAATTTTTTAAATGAAATTAATCACATTTAATGCTAACAACAGTGCTTTGGGGTTTTGTTTTACTCCCATTTTGCAGGTAAAATTAAGTTTACCTATAATGATTCCCGAGCCACTTGCATCAGAATCCACTGGAATGCCTGTTTAATTGACAGATTCCAGCCAGCATGGTGGCACATGCCAGTAATGCCAGCACTCAAGGAGGATGAGGCAGGAGAATCACTAGTTTTAGCCCAACCTGGGCAGCTTAGCGACTTACTGAACAACCTGTTTCAAAACTTAAAAAGGCCTGTTGATGTAGGTTAGTGCAAAGACCCTGGGTTCGGGTGCCAGCACCAAATCAAAAAAACCCACGCTCCCAGGCTGTGTCCCCAACACTGTTGCTCACTGGGTGTGGAGGCGCAACATCGCGGAGCAATCCCTACAGTCGCTTCAGAGACCCCAGGCCCCTGGCAAGCCCGCAGCAGGTGGTTCCTACACAGCTGGGCAAGGTCACCCGCCGCGGCCGCCACCTCGCGGTGGGCAAACCTCGGTGGCAGGGGATGAACGCTGGCCGAGCTGAGAGCCGCTACACCTGGCGCCTCAGCTCTGGGCCGGGGTCAGCGCAGGGACTCGGGAGCGGAGCCGGGCAGCTGCGGGAGAGCCAGGCCGAGTGGTGGGCTCTGCTGCAGCCTGGTGGCCTCCTGCAGCCCGGAGCGAGTGAGCCACGTGGTGCAGCATTCCCGGGGGGCCGGGCCACGTGCAGGCCCACGTGACGTCAGGCCTGGAGTCTCGGCCAGGGGGGCCCGGAGCCGGCTCTGCCCCTAGTCTGCGCCCCACGCGGCCTCCTGCTAAAGTCACCCCTCGGATGGTAGGTTACCCAGGCTCGAGTCTGCAAGTCGGTGCTGGATAAATGGCTTCAGTGAACTGGAAAGAGCTTTGCAGGACTATTGACGCAAACTGCAGCAGAACCCCACAAGCTGTATGAAACAAAAGGAAAGAGTTCTCAGGGTGAGCGCGTGCGGTTCCTATGCCCTCTTGCTCGAAATCTGTTGGGCTGAGTGGCACACACACCGCTTCTGCTGTTTAGGATCGTGCTTGATTTGCTTCCTGGTCATCATGGGTTTTGGAGACAGATCTGCCACTTCACGCTCTAAATCCTCTATGCCTCGGTTTACTCCTCGGTAAAATAGGGATGATCATAGTACCCCCTCATCCGTCTCTGGTGACAGCTCCATGAGAGAACGCAGCCTAAGCCGAGCTTGGGGCAGGGTTGCCAGTAGCATCAGCGATTGTGACTCTTCTTTTGCTCTTACTCACTGGATTTGTAAGACTCATTCTTCTTCCCCTCGTGCAAAAGGAAAAGCCCCCTGAGGGAGTCGGAGGCAACAGTCTGCGGCATAGCTTTGGGTGTGTATACCAACAGAAGCCTGGGCATGGTGGTATACACCAGTAACCCCAGCTACTTGGGAGGCTGAGGCAGGAGGATCGAAAGTTCAAAGCCAGCCAGGGCAGTGTAACAAAGCTTCATCTCTAAATAAGTAAATAAGTATATAAGAAGACTGAAAGGTACAGGGTGCGTTTAAAGGGTACAGTTAATCCCCCCAAATTCATCCTACATACATTTGTACAATTTATATCTGTGTTTGATGCATATTGTGAATTTTTCAAAATATTGTAACCTTTTTTTTTTGGTACTGGGGATTGAACTGGGAACCTTTCGCTTGCAAGGCAGGCCCCAGAACCACTGAGCTAAACTCCCGGCCCCAAAATATTGTAACCTTCTCATTGCCATTTGCGACTATAGGTTGTTTAAAGTTGCCATCAGCCAGGTGTGGTAGCACGTACCTGTTATCCCAGCACTCAGGAGGTTGAGGCAGGAAGATCACTGCAAAGTTTCAGATTGACTAGGGCTACATAGTGCATTCAAGGTCAGCCTGAATTACGTAGTGAGACCCTGTCTTTCAAAAAGAAGAAAAATAAAAATGGCCGTCAAACTATCCCTTCCGGCCCTGCTTGGATGATCAGAAGTGGGTCCCATCAAAAAGCTCAAAAAAACGCCTCACACTGACAGGGATCTGACTCATATTTTCTTTAATCCTCAAGTTTTCTGTCCTCTTGAACAAGGCAGGTACCACTGCTGCCATCGGACAGGAAACGAAGAGTCCAAGGGCAGCTCTGCAAGCCAGCTGCTCTGTAGCAGAGGCTGGACCTGAATCTGCTCTGGAGCCTGGGCCCGTGAGGAGAATGCAGGCTCACCCTGGGTGTCAGTGCTTCCCTGCGCTCCTCTGGGGGTGGGGAGTCCGGGACTTGCAGCTGTCCTCTGCTGTCCACAGTGATGGTGGAGAGGGTAGATGGGCAGGAGAGGGTGCGAGGAAGGGAGACGATTCTCACAAAGATGAGGAGTGTGGAATGGATTTCTCCTCCTGCCTTAAAAAACGAAACAACAACAACACACACAAAAATAATACACTACTGTGTCAGACAGTGGGCAACAGGCAGTGAGGCCGGGGGTCTGGGCACCGGCCTCCACTTCTGCTTGGTGTTTTGTTCCCAGACGGGGTCCTGCTGTGTACCCCAGGCTGGCCTCGAACTCCTGGCAACCCTTCCGCCTCAGCCGCCTGAGTGCTGGGACTCCAGGTGTACGCCACCACGCCCAGCTGCCCGCCTGTCCTTTGGGAATCCTCCGAATCCAGCAGCCCCAGCTCCCAGAGGTGCCCCAGGTCCTTGTGGGCCGAGTCTGGGGAGGCTTCCACAGCCGTGTGGGGCACTGTCCAGCAGGAGGTCCGGCTGTTTGGGGACCGGAAGTCAGAGTTGTGGTGGGACAGTGAAAGGACAGACACTGTCATCGGAGTAAGATGACTCAGAACAGCCAGGCTGGTGGTGCATGAAGGTCTCCCAGCCAGACTGGTAAAGCAGCCTTCCCAGTAACTCACAGGTGGAGGACATGGCACTGCTTTAACTTGAATTCCCTCTTCTTGCAGGGAAAGAGAATTGCACGATCTCGAAAAGTTCATTTTGAAATTTGTCAAAAGCAGAGTCTGGTGACACTCACCTCAGATCTCAGCACTCTGGGAGGCTGAGTCAGGAGAATCACAAGTTCCAGCCCAGACTGGACAATTTAGGGACTTAGTGTCACATTCACACTTTCCATGACACTGTTGCCAGGTATTATTCATTTACCTGGGCATCTCCTGTTTCCTCCATGGGGTGGGAGCTCAGAGAACACAAGAACATACTCTCTGTACACCCGGCACCCGGGACAGGGCCTGGCCCTAGGCGGAGAAGAGCCCTGCTGGAGGGAGTCAGGCTGCTGTCACATTTTGCACCCGAGCTCCTCAGGACCCCTGTCACCTCCCCACTCACCCTGGGCAGCAGGAACTTCACAAGGAAAGAGACAGCGACGAAGTAAGTGGAGCAAGTGGAGCAGGCGGAGGCCGGGTATGGCGTGCAGCTGGCAGCAGGCTGTGCTGCTCCTGTCTGAGAAAAGCAAAAGTGTTCTGTCTGCAGTCTTTCTTTTTTTATTATGAGCGTCTCAGCACAATGACAGAAGAGCATCTGTTTGTTCAGATGGCTCCTCCTTCCCGGAAGGCTCCTTCCGGTTTTTCGTCTGCTTTTGCTTTTGTGTTGCTTTGCAGGATTGAGGATTGAGCCAGGGCCTTGCCACAGAGCTATCTCCCCAGCCCATTTCTTATTTTGAGACAGGGACTCACTAAATTGCTAAATTGCCCGGGGTGGGCTTGAACTTGTGACTGTCCGGCCTCAGCCTCCCAGAGTGCTGGGTTTATGGGTGTGAGTCACCACACCCAGGTTTCTTTCTCTTCCCCACTAGTCTGTCATATATCCAAGTTTGGCACATTTGCATGCAATCTTTTTTCCTTTCTTTTTCGGGGTGAGTGGGAGGCCTTGGCACTTCTCCTTCCTCTGAGGTCGCCCTGGCCCTGCCCTTGGGGTGACCACCCCCATGAATCCACACAGCATGACGAATTTTACAGATGTTTACAACTTCGCAGAAAAGCTTTCTCTCTGCCAGTGCTTTGGTAATGTTCTTTTTTTCGCAGTGCTCCTTAACTGCAGCAGGTCCCTTGCAGACCTAGCCTGTGCCTCTAGGGAGCCTCCTCCGTAGCCATCACAGCTGGGGCTTCCTCTGCAGTCCTAGGACACAGTGAACCCTGAACAACTCAACTGGCTGTTTCTTTTCCAAATAAATCAGTGCTGTGTAATATTCCCTTGAACAGACTCTACACTACTGCATGCCTCCTACTGCAGATGACAGGTTCATGCCGCCAGTGGTTTGCTTCTTTAGAGGGTTTGCTTTTGGAGGGACGTCCTTGTCCGAGTCCCCTCCTGCAAGGGTAGGGAAGACTCTGGGTCCCCAAGGTGGAGTGGTTGGGCCCTAGGTAAGTATGTGCAGCTTCAAACTTCTTCAGTATTACTAGGTGCTTTCATTCCTTTCTTATTTTTAATTTCTGAGTCAGGGTCTCACTAAGTCACTTAACTGCCCAGGCTGGGCTTGGACTTGTGACCCTCCTGCTTCAGCCTCCCAGGGTGCTGGGATTTCGGGTGTGTGGCTCTGTGCCCAGGTACTATCTGCTTTCAAAATGATTATATCAATGCCCTATGAGGAGCAGATTCATGATGTATTACAGACATGTACTAATAAAAGTTTTTCGAGAATGGTTATACGTAGAGTAAGTGCAAAGTCGGGCCTCAGTACCATGGATTTGAAATGCTTTCGGAATGTTGTCCTTATATGGAAGGTGTGGAGGGGATAGAGTACCCCCTCTTCCGTTGTGACAGGTGTGGCGCTCCATTGGCAAGATGCGCTCGATCTTTGTGTGTCAGTCCCTGTCCCGGGTGCCAGGTTGAGCCCTGAAATGCCCTGGGTGAAGTGTGTTTGCATGTTGTGTGTTTTATTCTGTTTTGTTGTGGCTACATCTTATTTTATTGGGTGAGTATATCACTGACATGGCTGTGTCTAGCTGTCCTCGGTATTAGGTGGGGCTTTTTCAGAGGAGGCTGATTTCAGAGTGTGTGATTGATTCTTGGCTGCTCTGCCCTGTCCCAGCCTGCCTTAGAGCCGCCTTTAGCTGACTATGGGCTGAAGCCTCTACAGACTGTGAGCTAAGTAAACCTTTCCCCTTTTGATTGTGGGTGTTGGGTATTTTGTCTCAGCAAGGAGAAAAGTAACTAAGGCCGAAATTTGCTACTAGAGAAGTGGGGTTTTTGCTGTGACTGTACCTGACCATGTGGTTCAGGAGCCTTGGAGAACGACTTGTGGGAAGGGCTTGAAAGGTTCAGAGATGGCAGCTGAAAAAACAGAGCTGGAATGCCTGAGGCTGAACTGTACGGGAGAGCTCAGAGGATCAGAAGGCTGAAAGAAATTCTGCCAATAAAGACCGAGTTCAAGAGGTTTCTGTTGGGATGAAGGACTGCATTGGCTGTTGGACTCCGGGTGCATTTTGTTCGCATCCAGAGACTGTGCCTGAGACTGAGACTAAGGGTGGTGGACTAATTAATCTGGCAGAAGAAATTTCAAGGCACTCTAATGTTGAGGCAGTCGCACGGGTACTGTTGTGGGTTTTTAGCCAGATTTATGTTGAGAATCAAGACTAAGGAGCCCAGGAGAATGATTTAAAACGTTTTGAGTTTCGCCAGAAAGGAAACTCCAGTAAAGTTGTGGCCTGCAAAGACAGAATAGAGGAGATCTTGATTACTGAGCAGGAACAGGAGAACAGAAAAGATGGCCTGAGGGCATCACAAGAAGCAGCAAGACTCCACCCTTTGCAGCCTCAAAATTGCAAAAGTGAAAAACTTTGCTTGGAGAAGAGAGTCCCAGAGGACCACGTTCCAGAATGATGGTGGCCTAGGGAAGCTGCTTCTAGGGATTTGGTTCATAGGCACTGGACCCCTATAGCCAAAAGAGAAGGAAGCTATTGCTCCAGCTGGCACCAGACCTTGGCATTATCCACATGGTGTTGGTTTTAGGCGCATGCAGAATGCAAGAGTCGTGGGGTCAGGAAGGCTTCCACCCTGATTTCAGAGGAAGGCCTGGGAGGACAGGCAGTGAGCCCCTGAGAGACCCATGTGAAGCTGTGTGAAGCCAAAGGTGCAGTAGAGACCCCAGAAGGTTGGCAAAGCCAGGAATGTGGATCATTCAAAGACAGCTAAAAGGAGGGAGCAAAGCCAGCCAAAGAAAGAAACTATAGGAGCTACAACCACTAGCAGTACCGCAGGGTGGAGCCACCCAAGCCCTTTGGAGTTCACAACTTGTCAGAGATTGCTGGGGACGCTGGAAGTGAACTGTGGGATTTAATGTTTGCCCTGCTGGATTCTGGTCTTGCTTTGTTCTCATTCCTTGCCCCTATTTGTAACTTTTGGAATGGAAATGTCTCTCTTGTGCCACTGAATGTTGGAAATGTTTAACTTTTTTTTTCATTTATATAGGAGCTTGCAGCTAAGAATTTGCCCTAAATCTCAGAGGAGACTTTGGACTTGGACTTTGGACTGTTAGGATGCTGGCAACTCCTAGAGATGGACTAAGTGCTTTTTTGCATAAAGGGATATGCACGAGTCTTTGAGGAGCCAGGAGCGGAATGTTACTGCCTGTGTCTAGGCTCTTTGGGTTTTAGGTGGGGCTTTTTCAGAGGCAGCTGATTTCAGAATGTGTGATTGATTCTTGGTGCAATGCTAGGCCTGATGGCATCAGGATTAAAGATGTGAGTGCTGCGCACCCTGAGTAGTGTGAATGAGATAAAAGGGGCAGAAAGATGCTGTTAGGTCCCTTGTTGCTTTGCTGTCTTCTGTCCTTCAGGAACTGTTGCCGCCCTGTCCTGTGCCACCCTGCCTTGGAGCCAGCTGACTATGGGCTGAAGCCTCTACAGACTGTGAGCTAAGTAAACCTTTCCCCTTTTAACTGTGGGTGTTCGGTATTCTGTCTCAGCAAGGAGAAAAGTAACTAAGACAATCACAATTAACCACCGATATGGAATTTGTAAAGAACAGTGGTGTATAAGTATTTTTTCTTAGGAAAAATTCCCAAGAGTTGGAATTCTGGTCAGTGCATTAAATATTTTTTGCCCCTCTTAAGTATTGCCAAAGGATTATGTATTATTGTTTAGAAGGCCCCTCCTTGAAACTGCTTAATTTAAACATCATGGACATTTGTTTTACTCAAATGGGTCGGAGTCTCCTCAGGGCAAGGCTGTGTTGATTTTTCTTTTCTTTTCGTCCCTCCCTCCCTCCGTTCCTTCCTTCCTTCCTTCCTTCCTTCCTTCCTTCCTTCCTTCCCTCCCTCCCTTCTTTTTTTTTGTGGTACTGGGGATTAAAACCAGGGACTTTGTATTGAGCTACATCCCCCGGCCTTTACGTTTATTACTTTTAACTCAGAGCCTTACTAAGGTGCTAAACTGCACAGGCTGGGCTTGTACTTTGGATCCTCCCGCCTCAGCTTCCCAGAGTAACGGCTCTCTTCCCCCTTCCAGTCGGTTGCAGGCCCAGTGCCGACCAAATTAGATTTGAGAGCAGAGGCCGTTTCTGAGTACCCTCTGCTGGGCCTGAGGGAACCATGTCCCCTTCTCAGGTAGCTGTGGGGTGGGCGCAGTCTTTCGTGTCCCCCAGGCTGAAGATGTTCACGGGGACCCCTGTGTGCTCCTTGACATGGGTGGGCACACGGGCAGGCGCAGGGTCAGTGTCCTGAGCCCAGAACCGCTGCCGGCAGCTGGGCGGGCACACGTGGAAGGGCAGGGCAGGGCAGCACGGCCGGTCTACCCGCAGGACCTGGAGAGGCCAGGACTGGGCACAGGCCACTTCCATCTGGGCCCTTCTTTCTGCTGTCGCACCCATGCCATCCTGAGTAAAAAGCCGAACTGTGGGAATGTTACTTTTCAAGGGACAGTGGTGGCCGCCCAGGTCAAAAGCCTGGTGGCTTCACCAGGAGGGCAGAGTGGGCCAGCCCTCAGACCCGCTGCCTCCTGTCTCTGCAGGCGCCCAGCCTGGTGGAGGCCCTGGAGCAGAGGTAGGTACCCGGGCTCAGCACCTCCCAGCCTGTCAGGGGTAGGGGCATTACCTTGCAGGCCCCGAAGGGCGATGAGGAAGAGCTGAGATGGGTTTCGTTTCTCACCCTGCACAAAGACCTGTTCGCCCCCCCCCCCCCACAGAGCAAGCTGTGTGCCATCGGGGTGTGGACCCAAGCAGAGGAGAGGGGCCAGGGGCTCCGGGCTCAGGGTGTCCAGGCTGCTCCCGGCCCTGGGCAGCAGACGCTGCGGGCACAGAGGAGCCCCGCCCGGGCCGGAAAGGTGGCTTCCTCACCAGGGCAGCCACAGAAAGGACACTTTCGTTTGGTTTCAGTTGACAGCAGACTCTCACTGGCCCGAGGGGCTGAGAAGCACTTCTGTTTGCCTCTGACTTAATAATAATGAAAGCAAAGGCAGAGAGAGATATTTCCTCCTTCTCCTTCCCACTGGCCTAAGAGCAGTTTCAAGCTTCCCCTAATAGAAGCAGTTGTGGGAAATTAGGAACACCCTGGAGGTACCAGGTGGAGGAAGAGGGGGGAGGACTGTCATTTACTGAGCCCCTAATTTACATCAGACCAGGCACAGGAATTATACTTACTTATTTTGCACTACTGGGGATTGAACTCAGGGCCTTCACACTGAGCTACATACCCAACCCCTTTTAATCTGACACAGAGAAGGTGTCTAAGTCTTGTTTTTGGTACAGGGGATGGAACTTGGGTCCTTGTGCTTTCGCAGCAGGTGTCGAAACCACTGAGCTAAATCCCCAGCCCAAAATTCACGGTTCTGAGTTTTTTTTTTTTAATGAAGGAATCAAGTCATGTTCAAAAGAGCAGAAGGAAGATAAAAGAATTCACAGAATGGAAGAAGGTATTTTTTGCAAATTTTAGCTGATAAAGGACTGGAATATATAAGTAAACTCCTCCAACTCAAAATTAAAAATTTAAAAACTGACTAAAGATCTGAACAACCATCCCTCCGAAGAAGAAACATAAATGGCCGATAAGCACATGACAGTGTGCTCATAAGTCACCAGGGAAATGCAAATCAAAACCACCTGGATGGATTGCTTTGTGTTTACTAGGATGGCCATTACTGGAAAAGAAAAAAAGGAGAAAACGAGCTGCTGAGGATCTGGAGCATCCGGGCCTTCCTGGTCTCTTGGCGGGAGTGAGCAAGGGGCAGCTGCTCGGGAAACTGCAGCAGCTTCTCAGAAGCCTATACCTATAGATGGGGTGAAACCCGACGTTCACACAAAAACGTGCACGCAAAATGTTCATGGCAGTGTTAGTCACGACAGCCAAAAGGACGGACACGGCTCAGAGGTCCATGATGGGCAAAGAACATGAAGCATATCCAGCCAGGGAAATGATTTGGAATGAAAGGTAGTTGCGTAGTAAACCTGGGCAAACCGTGAAAACCATTTCATGGAGAATGAAAGGAGCCAGTCGCAGATTACATACTGTGCGATTCCATTCACACGAAATTTCCAAATGAGACAGAGCTGTGGAGACCGGAAGTCATGGTTGCCAGGGTTGGGGAAGAAAGGGGAACTACTGCTCCGGGTGTGGGGTTTCTTTCTGGGGTGATGAAAATGTTTAAAGTCAATTGTGCCCATAGTTGCACAACTCTGTGAAGATACTAAAAACCGTTGAAACATACACTTTAAGTGAGTGAAGTGTATGGTATAAAAAGTATATTTCAAAAAAGCTGTTACAGTCTTTTAAAAAGTATATAGCTATTGGGAGGTAGACTAGAAGGGGGTCAAGCAAGAAGGGGGGAATCTCATCCAGGGCCTACCCCTACCTTGCATTTTAGCAGACTTTATTTAAAAATCAAAACAAAAGAACTGCACTAGGCTTGGAGGTGCACACCTGTAATTCTAGCACTCACGAGGCTGAGGCAAGAGGATTGTGAATTTGAAGCCAGCCTGGTCTATGCAGTGAGATCGACTAAGAGAGAGAGACACAGAGAGAGAGAGAGAGACTTTTCCCAATCAATCAACATTCAGGGACACCATATGGGTGGCTTGTATCAGCCATAGTAGAAATATTTACACCACAGGAACTGGCAAAAATGCTACAAGTAAAGTTTCTTTTAAATGTAAATTTTTAAAAGCGCTAAACATTTACCAGCTCACCCCTGAGAATAGCACACAGATAGAACAATGTCAGTCAAAGGCGGAGGGGCAGCTGAGTGGTAGAACCCATACCTAGCACAAGTGAGGCCCTGGGTTTGTTGTCCAGCACCACAAAACAAACAAAGTGCAAGTCAGGAGTGAGCAGCTTGTGAGCAGCGCCTTGTGACCCCCCCCCCCAGCCCAGCCCCTCCCCAGCCCATTCCGGTGATTCCACTCCCCCACCCAGACGCGTACCTGAAGAGACCGCCCCGTGTTGTACAGAAAGTGGAGTAAGAGTGAATTCCTCGAATCGTGGCTTCTTGTGCTCAGTGTGAGCCTCAGCCAGGAGGTCAGGATGGATATAGAACGCGCATTCCTCTTCTGGTGTCTGCTCCCCAGCTTACATGCACTCCGCTGCTGGTGGACTATGGGTAGCCTTTCTATGATAACAAACAGAGGTCTTAGCGACTTCCGTGTCTTTTGGCCAACACGTGCATACATTTTCAGGGGGGATCTGTAGGTTTGGGGCATCCCTATATTCAGCATTGACTGACAGATTTCTGGTTGATTTCACTTTGACTTTTCTCCTATTCACTGCCGCCTAAGTCACCCCTTTGAGTCCCCTCCTTCTAAGCTCTGTCATGACCTGCCATCTTCCATTTTGCCACAGACAAGAGGGTGGCTCCCAGGCCACGGGACTAGCGGGGAAGGGCAAGCCTGGGTGGTCCTGGTGTCCCTGCATCTCCAAACGTTCTCTGGGTGGGAGCCACACAGGGCCCTCCAGAGAGGGCATCAGGTGACTGGTGGCCAGAGATGAAGCCACCAGGGAGCTCCCAGTGTCGAGATCTGTTATTTCTGAGGTGGGTTGTCCAGGCTGGCGTTGAACCCATGATCCTCCTGCCTCTGCCGATTGGATGGAGTTCTAGGCATGAGCCATGTGCTCCGCTGGAGTTTTTAAGTGGTTTCAGCTGAGCAGGAACTAGGTTTGCACATTCACACCATGTATTCCTGTGGATCTTTGTTCCACAGCTTAGTGCACCATAAAGAGAGGTCCATTGTCAAGCAGCCCATTTGCAGGGTGGGCATCTGCATAATGCAGTGGGTAGAGCCTGAGGGAGGAGCTCCTGGCCTCGGCCCTCCACTGGGGTGGGGACCCCCAACTTTGGAAGGAGACCAGCTACTGGGACCTCTTTCAACAACAGGTGCTGTGAGATCTGAAAATCATATGCAGTAGTTGGTTTTCCTCCTGTTTCTTGGCACACAACCCCTACAATCCTTGGAGCCTCCAAAGTGACAAGTGTCTTTTTGTACACAGATGATTAGGGGGTGGCTGCTCCGGATTAGAAGGGTGGGGGTTTTCCACCCCATCCCCGACCTGGCGGAGGGGAGGCACTGGGGCTGGTGATTGAGTCACTCATGCCTACGTAATGAGGCCTCCTCAAAGCCTCAAATGACAGGTGCTGGGGAGCTTCTGATAAGCTGCTCCTGGGGGGTTGCAGAGTAGGTTCCCAGAGAGGCAGCGAAGCTCCTGTCCCTCCCTCCTGCCTCTTCCTCAGATCTGCTGTCACACCCTCATAACCCTGGAACCGTGTCTGCCATGTCCCGTGAGCCGTCGGGCAAAGCCATCTGGCCCATGATGTGCAGCTGGGGGCGGAAGTGCAGGGAAGACAACCTGGACCTGGCACCGGGCAGCGCGTGGTTGGTGAGCCCTCAGCTGTGGCCCTGCCCCTGTCCAGAGTGGGTCACTGACCCCCGCTGGTATCCTCTGCAGCTCAGGCTCCCTGGATGTGGGGAACTCTGGCACATGTGGCTTCGGAATCAAACTGTAGGAGAAATGAATTTGGTTTTCTGCACACTCCCCTGGTGCCCTCCAGGAAGTTCTTGATGGAGGTGTCAGGGCTCATGCACTCGGTGACCACAACTGCACATCACGCAGTCAGTAGGTTCATCTCTCTCATTTGTCACTTGTCACTAGCAAAGGTGACATTTTTGGGTTGAGCCCCCCCCCTTTTCAGTACTGGGCATAGAACCCAGGGTCTTTTGCACTGAGCTACAGTCCTAGTCCCTTTTTTAAAAAAGTTATTTTGAGGCATGGTCTTGCCAATTTATTTACCAAGCTGCCCAGGCTGGGCTTGAGTATTTTTTCAGTTTTTTGAGAAGGAGTCTCCCTGTGTAGTGCAGGCTGGCCTCGAACTTGAGGCAATCCTCTTGCCTCAGTCTCTAGAGTGCTGGGATTACAGGCCTGCGCCACCATCCCTGGCTCAGTAATCTGGTTTTAAGTCTGAGGACCTGAGAGGACGTCGGGCATAACGTGAAAACCTAGGCTACTATGTTTCCAGGCCAGAGCGTAGGTGACACATTTGTTGTCTCCTAAGTCTACTTAGAACTATCCAGTGAGGTTCAAGCCCCTCTGAGGAAGTGTGAGGCTGAACAACCCTTCCCGGTGGGTGGGGGGTGGGGGGCGGTTTGCAGAAGGTCAAAGCTTTGGCTTCCCGGCGCCTCAACTAGGTTTGCTGTGTGCACAGAACTTGGCAAAGCCAGTGTTGGTCTGAGCCCAGTCCTGTTTCAGTCTGCTTTGGGCTGCTGGGCTCACAGGGCAGCGAAGGGTCACACACAAGGGCTGCAGGGAGCCCGGGTCGCGGTTCAGATCTGGCCTCCAGCACCTTGGCTAAGTTGAGGCAGCAGTCGCCCCATGTGGACGCAGGAACACGGCTCCGTCCGCAGTGCCCGAGAGAGCGTGACCGCGGTGCCTGCTCAGCACGGGTCTGGCCCCGCCAGGGGGCTCAGAGTCGCTCTGTGCGCCCCGGTCCTCGGGAAGGCGTCGGGGACCCTGCTCCCCTGAACAGCACAGGGCGCCGCCCTCTAACCGGGCCTGTGCGGGGCGGGGCGAGCCTTGGCTCCCTCCCCTCCCCTCCCGGACAGCAAGCTTTTCCGGACAGCACTCGCTCGTCTCTGCGCCACGGCCCGGTGCCCGGTACCCGGTACCTGGTCCATCTCCGCCCCAGGCCGCCCGAGGCCGAGGCAGGGCGCAGCGACTTCAAGCCCTCCGCTCAGCCGCCCCTGGAGGAGGGCGCTGGCGCCCGCTCAACCTGCAAAACCGGGATGAGACTGGCGCTTAGCGGAGGAGAATCCGCGGAGAACGCAAAGAAAGGGCCGATTTTCCCAACAGCTACCACCGCCAGCCCCGCTGGGCCTGGGGAAGGCCCGCATACGTGCGCGGGGAAAGCGGCCCAGGGTTTGGGCGGAGGGGGCACGGAGGGCGGCTGACGGGGCCACACTGCCCTCACCCGCCACCCCGCGATCCCGCAGGCCGCCCCAGCGGGCCAGCCGCTGGTGGGGACCCCAGCCAGCCCGGGAAGGGTCTCGGGGTGGGGTGAGGCTCAAACAGGCCCTGTCCCGGGTTTTAAACCACACACAGTCGGCATTTTGGAGCAAGACAGAAAGCTTCCCGCCCCGGCTCTCGCATTACCCAGGGCATCGTGCTGGCTTCTCCCTGAGGCAACCGGACAGTCAGTGGGGTCCGCGCCAGGCCCTTCTTCCCAGCCACGCGGGGCCTGTGGGCTCCAGCCTGCTCGGTTGCGAGGAGACACTGAACGGACCAGCTTTCAGGAAGGAGCTGGGTGGAGGGTGGAGGGTGGAGGGCGGAGAGCTCCTCGGCTCCCCTGCCGCATCTCTCTCCGCGAGAGGCAGCGGGACCCCACCGCTGATCTGGAGAGTTCTGGCGAGGACTGACCTCCCGGGCCTCCTTTCCAGGCGTGCGACGTGAGACATCTGCGCCTTTTGGGGCTGCCGGGGGCCAAGGAGCTGCCACAGGCCGTGCCTGAGTGCAGGCCACGCGCACTCAGCCCGGGCGCGAACACCGCCGCGCCTTAGCGTGAGCAGGAGCAGGTGCCGAAGTCGTCGCGAGGCTGGGACGTCCGGTGCCCATTCGGGGTGAGCTTTGGCACAGGACTTAGGGTGACCCGTGCTATCCACGCCCCCAGAGCAAAGCCAACAAACGTCTTGGTTTTCCCATTCAGAAGAGTAGCAGACAACTCACAAAATGGCCTGATTTCAGATGTTTGGGATCAACTGAGAATATGTTTATTTAAAAGCAGTTTTAAATATTAAAAAAAGTAGAAATTAACACGTACATTACTGAAAAATGGTCACAGTAAATACATGTGAAATGAAAAGCGTCCTGATGTTCGATGGCAACATCTGGATGGAACTCGGAATTTAACTAGTGGCACTACGGGATTCCTATACAACATGTTGGAAGTTCTAGGCAATAAAAAAATAAATAGCAATTGCTGTTCAACAGTAAAATAAGACACGCTATTTGCAGAACATAACTTTCCTCTCTGTGGGGAAAAAGAACTAATTTGCTATTTTTTTCGAAAGGTTCCATACCTTCAAAATAATCTATCATGTACAACATCGCAGATAGTGGCTCATGAGTTGAAGAACAAGATCAGATTTAAACTCCACAAGATTGCCAATGGTGTTCTATCTAGTCTTCCTATGTCCTACAGTAAGCTGGATTAGAGAACTCACATTCCTGATGGAGACAAAAACACAACCAGAAAAAGAAAGGCATGAAAAATGCATTTGTGTGAGCTACTGCAGCCGGGGGAAAAGACTAGACATTGACTCCGTGTACTCGTAGAGATACAGCTTTTGTGTGTGTTTTTATAAAGCAGTCTATTTTCAGATCACTGAAAAAAGCCTAGGCCACAAAAAGAACGGCTCTTTCACGCAGCTGAACGTGCGCAAGTGAAGGAAGTGGCGCCCTGGGGAACCTCAGCCGCCCACTTCCTGTCCAGTGTGGCCCACGCAGGGCGCTGTCTCCCACTCCCAGTCCCCTGTGGGAAGGTGCGCGTGCCCTGACACCCAGGAAGCAGTCGCTTAGAACTAGTTTCCATGAACAGCTGATGAAGTATTTTGCAGCTCTGTCATGCAAAGCTGATTTCTCAGGTGGCTATTTAAAGTGTCCTAGTAACCAGTTAAGCAGCACTAAATTAATGTTTACTGAGCACTGTGACTATGAAAGGCCTTTCCTACTGGTTTGGCTGGGAGTTGTGCTTCTGTGAAATTAACATTTCTCATTCATTGCCAAGATTATCTGCTTAAAAATATTAGACTTCTGCACTGTGGCCCAAATAGCAGTTTAAGCAAATGTGCGCCCGGGATCAGAGGACAGTCCCACTGACCTGGAGTACAAGTGCCATGTTCATTTCCAGGATTTGGACGATGTCAAAGACGGAAATAGTCACAATGTGTCACCCCCACCCCCACCCCTGAACTGGGGATCGAACTCAGGACCTTGTGTTGCAAGTCAGGTGCGGTGCCGCTGAGCTAAATCTCCGGCCCCACTCACAATGTTCTTTATGGTCTGACAAGCATGGCCGGGATGAAAAACAAAACAAAAGTAACAAGACAGGAGAGAGAGGGGTACAAGGCAGACTGAGAGAGAGAGGAGGAGGGGAAAGAAGAGAGGGAGAGAGTGAGTGAGGAGAGAGAAGAGACTCTTCGCAGGGAGAGAGCCTTTTTCACAGTGCAATTCATAGCAGCGTTCCAAAACTTGGTTCTGTATGAATTGACTTGAAGGGGACATGTCTATAGGACAGAGCTTAAGGAGGGAAAACTTTGTAATTGGGGTTTAAGAAATGGAATGGAAAAAGAAAAGCTTGGTTTCAGCACCTGGATTCTACACAGGAAAAACTGTAAAAGGGTGATTTCTAAATCCCTCTTCTTGAATAATCTAAGAAGACAATTTAAAACCAATACTTTAGATGCTCTGACATATTAAGGGGTGCTGACTCATAATACAATATATAAATTCATACTCTTGAGAAGGCCAAATGACTGACTAGAAACAAATGTTCTTGCAACCTTATGATTTCTGCTTTAATGGCGATCAAGTTTAAAAAATGTACAGTTCAACTTATCCATACTATTTATTCCTTTATAAAAGGCAGATTTCAGGTAAGCTTCTAGATGCATGCATATTGCAAAGGCTAGTATTTTCTGGCAGTCCTTGGTTCCTGAAAGTTGAACTTCATCAGACGTGTTTTAAACTTTTGTCAAAATCGTCATGAAGGATATGTTATTTTTGCATAATGAGGTAATATCTCGGGGTGGGCACTCATCACCATACAATAGTATAAATCCACTTGCCTAAACTTGCATGAGGCTGTGTGCATCGTAAAATGCCACAAAGAGTTTTGGGTCAGTGAATATTCTGCTGAAGGAGTAACACTTACATTTAACTGAGTACTTTTCTGTAATAAATACCAAAGTAGGTTTTTGTAGCTGTAAACTGTATACACAGATAACTACAGGCTGGTCTGTCACGGAGCTAACTACAAGTTTCACCTGGAAAACAGAACCCACCTCTTTGCTAAGAATGCACTTTCAGTAACATGATTGAGAATACTGCTTTGTTAGGAACAGAAAGTCAATTCTATGCCCCTCAGCGGGTGCTGGAGACCACTTCTACTTGCAAAGCCAGCACTCCTGTGTTTTTGTTTTTCTGTTTGTAAAACAGCATAGATAGACAGATGTAAGTGCTAAATGCCAAGGATGGCTTTGGCAAACCAGTAAGGCGAACTGGGTCCCGAGGCTACCCTAATACTGGCGAAGGCAGAAGACCACAGGATATTTACAACACATACTATATTCCCTCCTGAGGTGGCCCTTCACGAGTTTCTCATTCTGTAACAGCAGCTATATACACATTGTGCACAGGATTACATGGAGGCAGCAGTCTTGCATGAAGGATGTGGGCAGTCTGAAGCTTCGGCTTTTTGCTAGTCGGACAGGATGTGAACGAAAGACACCGGAAAGACCCCCTTCCGTTCAGGCTGTCCTTCGATGTGGCCGATCTGCAGGGAGAAGAGAGGAGGTTCAGGCCGGTGGGTAAGAGCTGCCCAAAGTCTGCCCACAAACCTGGGGGTAGAACCCCAGTCTCACCGTTCCCCACCCTTTGGTGAACCTCCGAGAGCTTGGGTCATGAACCAGGTAGTAAAACAACAGAGTTGCAAACAACATCTTACAAAACGCTCAGCACTTTTGCATGGATCTCAAGACAACTGTGCAGCAGCCCAAGAGGGGCAATAACCTGCCGAGACCTCCTGGGCTTCAGGTTCCAGAACCTGTGTTGTGAAGGGGGTGTTGCTGGCTGTCTTTCCAGGCGAGTAACCTCAGACAAATCTTACTAAACCTCCTACTGTTAAAACGGGGCTGAAAATCCCTTCTCTCGGGCTGCTGCGTATCAATCACTTGTTTTTCATTACTACAGGGAAAAGATCCTGTGAAAACCTTTGACACTGAGGATGGCCAAAGGCAGCTTTACTGTCTGCTACATAAGCCTGCAAGCCATGGTGACCTGCGAAAGTTTTCTGATGACCTCAATTAGATCAGTATTAATTACATTAAAGAGAATCATACCATGGCCCTTTACCAGAAGGAGTATCAAGACCATACATACTGGCTTTGAATGCCACATACAGAGGAGAGGGTCTTAGGAATGGGACAGAGCTGGGCTGGGCCGCTGTGGCAAGAGCTCACTTGCTTCCCAGGCCCGTGACCTCAGGGAACATCCCTGCTGCCGGGTGTCTCATCTGCCAAGTGTCCTGAGTGGCCTGCATGTCTCCTAGGGTCTTGCTGGCATCAGGCAGCAGGAGGGGTCCGGCAGTGCCGGGTCACGGTCAGGAAGTGTAGCTAGACATGTGCTGACACCCACAGAATCCTCCCCACAGCCCTGCTGAGACATGGGGTGCGGGGGGCACTGGTCCTCCTCGCCCAGGAGTCTGCTGGAGTTCTCAGCTTCTCAGCGAAGGAGATAGTCACTGTCCAACAGCAGTGCGGTGAGCAGACTGCAGTGAGCCTGCGATATTTCTGGGAGGTAGATGCGTCAGGTCCTGTCTTTTCCAGAGGAAACAGGTCTGCAGAAGGGACATACTTTTGTCCAAGGCCGCAGGACCAGCAGTGACCATGCTGGGGATTTCAGTCTGTTCCCCGTGGCTGTCCCAAGCTGGTTCTCCAACAGGCTGCACGCTGGAGGCAGGGCCACTCCACAGGCAGAGGCCAGAGCAGCGGCGTCTCTACATTCATGCTGCCCCAGGACACAGGATGGGCCCCCATCACCTCAGTCCTCCTCCCCTCTGCCTCAGCCTCCTTTGTTCTCTGCTGTGGGCTCTGCTGAGGCGGTAGGATGTTAGCGCATCCCTGGCTCCCACCTGCTGGATGCCCACAGCACTCCTGTCCCAGGTCTTCCCGACAGTCACAATGTCCCCAGTTTGTTTGGTTTCTTTATGGGTCTATGTAACCCAGGCTGCCCTCGGACTCGTGGCAATCTTCCTGCTCAGCCTCCCGAGTGCTGGTATTACAGGCATGTGCCTCCTCGCCCAACTTCAAAACGTCCCCAGATATTGCCACAAGTCCCTGCAGGGCAAAACTGCTGCCACTTGGAACCAACTTGAGCCTCTGTCCTTACAGGGCCGAAGGACGAAAGGCTGCACCTTGGCCTGGCAGTTCCCAAGGGGCCTTGCTCCCTGGCCAGCCTGAGCAGCAAGGCCATGCAACTGCCCTCGAAGGCCTCGCAGCCTGTATCCACAAGGCCTCTCGGCTCCCAGCAGCTCCCTGGGGAGGACAGTGGTGCCCTTCCTTCCCCAGCCTGGGCAGTAGGTTTTACTGTCAAAGGAGTTCTCATAGATATTTAATCTTCTAAAAGTGGGTGAGGGAAGTTTTATGGCCACACTTTCCAAAGGAAGAGCTCAGGGTGGATTTGAGCGTGAGCACAGGAGCAGCTCAGTTTGCACGGGACCATGGCCCTCTGACGCGCAGCCAGGGGCTGCGGTGCAAGGGGAGCAAGCACATAGGTTTGGGGCTCAGGGCGGACTTGGATCTTGACTTTGCATGCTTACTGGCTGCCGGGGAGAGATGATGGGCAAAGTGCTTGACTTTCCTGAGCTTTCATTTTGTATCTGAAAAACTAGAAAACACCTGCAAGCACACAAGGCAGCCATACGATACCACAGGAAAAGCATATACAAATGTGAATTTCCCGACCCACTTTCAAAGCAGTATGTCTGCTTTTCTAGCATATGCTGCAGTGATGGAAAAGATCAAATACCTAGGGCCCCTTGGGTAAGTGACACAGCTGGCAGGACCCCTGTGCTTCGGGGCGCTCTCTTACTCACTGCAGGGTCTGGAGGACTCAACACGGGGTCCATCGGGCAGTGCTGGAACAGTGCATGAAGGAATGGATGGCCGTCCATACATACCCACCACTCCTGGTCCTCTTCCCCTGTGACAACGATCACTTCCCCCTCAATGAATGTGAGCTCGTCGTCATTGTCGGCCTGGCAGTCATAGATGGTCTTCACACGTCTCACTTTATTCTTCCCCTTCAGTGGAGAAACTGGGCTTTAGCACAAACACTGACCCAACACAGGGGCGAGCACAGTGCTCACTGAAGGGTGGGTGGCTTCATTGAGCCTGGCGTGCCTCCTGTGCGTGCGTGCGTGCGTATGTGTCCACGAGCACAGTGGCAGGACCATCTGCCTGAGCCCAGGGCAGTGTGCTCTCCGGGAACGACAGCCCTTCCCCACCAGTGTCAGCCCGGCCCCCAGCTGGGGACGCGCCATCACCAAGCTGCTTTCACCAGAAAGCAGACAAGGCCCTGATCTCCTCCACTGCAACGTCAGCTTGCAGAGATGACAGCAGTCTAAAAACGTTTTTAGGAAACACGATGTAAAGCAACACTTGCAGCTTCTGCATACCGAATGTACAGCATAAACCAATTTTCAGTCCCCTCCTGCAAAACAGCAGGTCAGGACACGCTGGCCAAACCCCGTAGGGTCAGCCTGGGGTGGGAGAGTTCTGCACTGCTCCCCAATAGCTGTCATTTCTGACCAGTTTTGACTTGAGTATTACTGGTTGGGTTTCCAGTTCTTTGCAAACAGGAAGACGGAAATAAAGGCATTACCTTCCAAAGAATACTTTTAACACCCTGCTAATTAAATAGTCAGCAATAAAAAAGCAAGCTGTCTCTTTAAGCGTTTTCGGTCCAGTGAATTCCCTTCCACCCCTGGGCCCTTCCTTGATCCTGAGGGAACCCGCTTCCAGCCTGCAGTGTGCCGGGCTGGGTGAGAGTCTGGGAAGCCTGGCAAAACTGTGGCAGCCAGCAGATTTTCATCTCTGTGCTGACTGAGCGACGGAGAGGGCCGAATGTGTAATTTATGCTGGGGAGGACTGCTATGCTCGGTCTCTGCCGTGCGAGGAAGCAGGCTGAGAAGTATGGAACTTGCCGTGGGCGCAAGTGCAGTCACACCAGGCTGACACCAGTGCTGAGGGGGCCAGGGGTCCAAAGCCTGAGCCACAGCTACCAGGCTCTGTCCCCTCACCACATGTGAACTAGAGCAGGCGAAGGCAGCCAGCTGGGAGCCACGCACCCTGATTTTCTTGCATTCAGCTCGAGGCCCCCACCCCCTTCAGTGCAGCAGTGGCCTGCAGAGCCGGACACGGGCGCCCACCCACCGTGTTGATCTTCCTGGGCAGCGGCACAGGCGTCTCAGGCAGAGTGGGCGTGAGGTCGTTGGAGTCTTCTGACACCTGTTTCTGGATGGCGTCTCTGGACTGCATGTTTGGGGACAGATCCACTGGGTGTGACTTCTGCATGGCCTCGGAGGGCTGCAGAGCCTTGGGTGAGATGTCGGCAGCCTGGGATTTTGCCAGCAGGTCTCCCAGCTGCGGTTTGGGGGGCAGGTCCTTCATTTGTGGCTTGGGGGGTAAGTCTGAGAGCTGGGGCTTGGGTGGCAGGTCACCCAGCTGCGGCTTTGGGGGGAGCTCTCCGGGCTTAGGTGGCAAGTCTCCAATCTGGGGCTTGGGGGCCAGTTCTGTGGGCTTTGGGGGCAGGTCTCCAGGTGGGGGCTTCTGTGGTAACTCTGTCAGCTGCGATGATTTCTGGAAAATCTCAGATGGGACGTTGGCTTTGTCTAGGGAGAGATGATGGCTTGTTTCTGTTTTCCTTAGTGCCACTGCAGGGACAATCACAGAGAGGGAAGTCACTGGAACAGCGTGTGAGGGGGAGGCAGGCTTGCTCCTGTCACAGTCACCTGAGAGCCCCCAACCGCCACCCGGTGCACACTTGGAGCGGCCCGCTCAGGGCAGCCCCAGCCTGGGATGGCCTGTTTCTAACAAGGTCAGAGCTGGAGCCAGGAGGCACCTACACTACTGTTCATGGCTTTACGCCTTAGTTAGGTAAGAACACAATGGCCATATCAACCCAGGATTTTTTTAAAAAGCAAACATAATACAGTTTGTGGAAAATTGGAAGGTACAGTTAAACACTTTTCCATAAGCCTACCCTCCATCTAAGTGTAGCCATTTGTCACGTTGATATATTTCCCCTCTTGACTTTGCCATGCAATTTCAATGCATCTAACTATGTGCTACTTTAGCAGAATACTTGCCATGTCATTAAGCTTTTTACTAGTACAAATGTCATTCTGAAGGGACATTCTCCTCTATGGCTGCATCATGTTCAATTCCCTTGATTCTACATGACTCATGCAGGAGGTGGCACAAGAAGCAGGAAGACCCATCCTCCCAGGTAAAGCGCTACCTTCTGGTGATATGCATATGTGGGCTTATGCATGTAGCATCTAAAACAGAATGTGCATTATAACACATATGCTGCAGTAACACACACAGTCTGAAAATTTGTTTCCACTTAATATGCTCAGGAGAGTCTCCAAGCTCCTCATTCTCCTTACCTGCTGCACGCTATGCTACGCTCAGGCAGGGCCACAAATTACGGACCCGCCCTGGCGCTCCTGGCACAGCTCTGTGGAGAACACTCACTGTCAGCATGTCTCTAACGTGAGCCCAACCATTCACCAGCCGTGTGACCCTGGGCAAAGTGTACAATCTCCCTGTGCCAACTCCACCTCACAGCACAGCCCTGGAGATTACACAGGGTGACGTACGTGAGGAATTTACTGACAGGAACTGGCAGGCTGTAAGCATTTCTTTAGAGTAATGCCATCCACTCCTGTTAAACAGGGCTCCCCGAGGCCAAGATTCCTCGCCTCCTAACTCTGGCTGCTGGCACAGGGGCCGAGCACAGCAAATGTTCCGCGAGGAAACGGCTGACGAAGGCACACTGTGTGACTCAAACTAAGGATTTTATCCTAAAAATACAACAGGTTTAGAAAAACATCTTTAGAGGAAAGAGAAGAAGCTGGGCATGGTGACATATGCTTGCAATCTTAGCTCTCTGGGAGGCTGAGGCAGGAGGATGAGTTTGAGTCCAGTCTGGGCAACTGAGACCCAGTTTCAAAATGAAAAACAAAAAAAGGGGGCTTAGTACATAGCTCAGTGTGAAGGCCCTAGGTTCAATCTCCCCTACCGTGGGAGATGGATGGATGGACGGACGGACAGGGACGAACCAGCGTTGTGAACTGTCCCAACCTGTCCTGCAGGCTGCTTTGCTCCTGGCCTGCCCGGCCACATCTATTTCTGAGCAAGCCACAGTCAAGGACTCTGCCCATCCACCTAATGTGGCTTGGCTCGTAAAGTGCTCTGATTTGGGCAAACGACAGTGTGAGGCCAGCAGCAAGAGGAATAAACTGAGATTCCCGGGCAGAAGCTGGAAAGACACTTACTGAGGAGCCGCACTTAAGAGGGGAGTAGACACCAAGCGATGGGTGTCCCAAGCCCTCAAATACGGGAGTCACCTATTCAGGCTGGGACTGAACTTTGAACCCCCCTGCCCCGGCCTCCCAGAGTGCTGTGAGGATTGTGGTGTAAGTTTACTGTGGGAAATATCAAACTGTGGAAGTATTTACACAAAGGAAGAAAGTGGGCATAGGCAGCGGTGGCAACCCTATGGCACGTGTGCCACAGAGGCATTTGTGGTCTCTGAGAGCTCTAGAAGGCTGGCCAGCACTGGGGTAGAGCAGTGGGCGGTGGTGGGAGGGACACGGGTAGGGACGGAGGATCAGACAGCAAGCCCGCGTCTGAAAGAGTCCCGAGAACATGGCTCGTCCCAGAGGAGGGGGACGGGAGCTGGGGCACAGCCTGGTGGGTGAGGGCAGGGCGCTCCCTGCAGGCCATGGGCCACTGTGTGCAGGTAGGCAGGGCACAAGGTGGCAGCAGGGTGAGCATACGTCCTGGCTCACAGCAAGCAGCAGAGGACCTCGCGAGCAACGGTCGTGGGATCAGACTGCTACCTGCCCGTCCAGCTGTCAGAGCAGGCGCCACACTCGTCCAGACAGCAGAGCAGAGCACAGGAGGGAGTGGGGCTGGGGCCAGGGCGTGCTTTTCTGGTGTTTTGGGACAGGAGAAACGGGAGGCCAAAGGGGACGAGGACAGGGAGCAGTGGTGGGAGCCACAGGCGGAGCCGGTGGCACTGAGAAACACTGGGGCTTGAGTGCTAGAGACCAGGCAGCACTCTGGGGAAGCCCCACTGGCTACGAGGAGGAGCCAGCAGCACTGGGGACTCCTCACCCAACACGCCTGCGCCTCACCGACGTTCTGCCCCGGCTGAGGAAGCCTGCAGGCGGGGGGTTTCTGCTCCCCTACAGGAGCCCTCTTCTGACTTCTACTTCAACCAGGACACAGTACTGGGCTGGGTCCGAGGCCTGGGCGCCAACAGCAGCAGCCCACACAGCAGCTCGGAGTCCACTGAGCCTTGCCCAGGTCTGAGAACACCCGCTGGTCCCTTTCACAAAGACCCAGTGAAGCTGGCGCTCTGAAGGTGTCTGGCAGGGCTCCGCACTACCATTCATGCTGTAGTAGGAAGATTGAGACTGTTTTTTTTTTGGTACCGGGACTCAAACTCAGGACCTTGTGCTTGCAAGGCAGGCAGCGGCACCAGACTTAAATGCCCGGCCCAAGACTGTTTGTTTTTTGAGGCAGGGTCTCGCTCTGTAGTTCAGGCTGGCCCTGAACTCACTATGCAGCCCAGGGTGGCCCTGAACTCATGGCAGTCCTCCTACCTCAGCCTCCCAGGTGCTGGGGTTATGGGTCCGGGCCACACACTCGGCCACTGAAACCCTGCTTTTGTAAGTGCAGAGCTTGGCCGGGGTGGGAAGATCTGGTGACAGAGACAAGCCTCTGCTGGGCAACACGGCAGCACTCAGACACTGCTGTCCTGGGCTCTGTGCCACTTGGGTGTCTGCTCCGCTCGACAGAGCCACTGCAGAGGAGGAGTCCTCGGCCACCCACTTCCCAGGGGTTTTCTGAGCATGACACTTCATGGCAGCTGCACAAATGCTGACTGAGCAGGCTATCACTTCCTGCTTTACAGACCAGGAATCCAACCTGGGGAAGCGGCCGAGTCACTCGCTTGCCCCAGGTCACAGCCAGTAAATGGAAGGAGCCAGCGCTAGTTTCCAGGCTCTCGGACCATGTGCCCAAGAGCAGGGAGAACCTGGAGGTCACAACAAAGTGTCTGCTGGAAAGTGGTTTTAGAAAAAGTGTAATCACAGGTTTGCTAATCACAGGTCTTGAGTTTACAAATGTCTCCCTGCATAACAAGTGTTTACGGGGCATCTACTACGTGCCAGGTGATGCTCTAGGCATTTGGAATAGATCAGTGAACAAGACAGACGCCTCACCTGCATGTGAGTATGAAAATGATGAATCTTACCTTTCTGAGGTAGTTTAGGAAGGACTCTTGGGCCAAGGGCAGTCTTTGCAGAACTGGTGCTATTTGATAAATAACAATAATTTAGGATCTATAAGAGCTATAATGGCAACAGTGATCTACTCTTCGTGGAAACCAAAGGTATTATGAATGATCGAAATAGTCCTTTCACAATTTATTTAACAAAATATTACAGTCTAGTTTTTGCATTTCAGTGTGCCTTGCTGGAGAAGCACAGGGTAAGGTGAGAAATAACTATTAGTGATAAAGCCAAGGCTTTTCCTCGGGGTGATGTGTATAAAAACACCCCAAATAAAGCACACAGGCGCCCATGTCTTGTGATCCCTGTTACCCCCGTTTCAGATAGGGAAACCAAAGAGTGCTGAGGGTCACTAGCTGGCAGAAGGCCCCAGGCCAGCTAGTGGTGGAAGTGGAAATTCAGCCCCTTTGCAGGGCCCGAGCTCTCACTTCCTCCTACACCAGCACAGGCGGCTTGGGTTCTCAGGCGCGCCCAGGCAGTGGCTTCCTTTTGGAGGACATGTAAATGAGTAGGGGAAAGCAATGCCCCAGTCCCTGGAATGGCAACCTGCACCATGTGGTCTGAATAACCAAATATGTCCTCTCATCAGCTGAAAGCCACTACTTCCTTCTAACAGGAGGCCTTAAGGGTCCTTGGAGACTGCCTGGAGCCCTGCACACCTGAGAAGCAAAGCAGTCCAGGCATGGCCTGAGTCCCACCTACCAAGAGCCCCTTTTATGATCTCGAGCCCCTTTCCTGTCTGTCCCCTAATGTCCCAGGAGGTGGCTGCTTTCCTTCTCTCTGGCCTAACTGTACTTAAAGGAAAGGAAAAAGCAAGCAACCAGCCAAACACAAGAAGTCAAAGGAAGAAGATTAAAGGCATGTGCTCCTGTCTTCAGTCCCAGCCCTCAGCCACCCTGGGCCTCCCAGACCCTTCAGAGCTCACAGGCAACCCTCTTATCTGTGTGGGCAGAGCCACTGATGGAAGAGAAACAGCAAATGCAAGAGGGCTTCGCTTCCAGCATTTCTGGGCTGTGTCCCTCCTGTTCTGCATCAGCAGCTTCAGGGAGACCTGGCTCACCAGCTTCTGGTGTGAGCACGGCCTGTGGCCACTTGTGGCCCCTTCCTAAAACCAAGGCCTAGAGCAGTGAGGGCAAACCTTTTAGAGCTCTCAGTGATAACAAATCGTCTGCTGTGGCACACGTGCCATAGGCTTGCCCCCACTGGTCTAAAGGCTCAGACATCCTTACCAGGAGCCCTGGGATCAACACTGCATGGGCTTCTTCCTATGGGAGGAGCACGAGGGTGCTGCCAGGACAGGGCACACAGGGGCAGGGCAATGAAAGCTCAGTGAATGGCCAAAAATCAGCTTGATACTGTTTAAAAATATTAAAGAACAATGTTTTCTTTGCCATGATGGGGTTGAACCTGGGTCTCATGCAGGCTAGGTTAAGTGTTCCACCACCGAGTTGTATCTCCAGCTCCTGTTTAAGACATCTATGAGTGTGTTGTACCACTCCCAACTCTGGAAGACCAGAACCCGTTTTGTGGGGAGGGTCAGGGAGGACAAGGAGCACCAAGTGTGGAGGACCAGCTGGGACACCCAGGCTCCCGTTCAGCACTCCGGGCCTCGGTTTTCTCATCTATGAAACTGAAGATGATAGTAATTGGGCTTTATCTCACAGGCTTGCAGAGTGAGTAACACAGTAGTATTCAAAGAACAGGGCTTGTTTCTTCATCTTTGGTAAACTCTAGAAAGTGGCTCCCACACACCAGCTGATTCTTCCTCCCTGAGGTTTCGGGTCTGGAAGTGGCTCTTTGTGTCCTTGCCAGTACTGTTATCTTCAAAGTCTTTGGGGTAGGGTTGGATAAAATTTCTCAAAGTAGCTCATTTTGGGAGAAGAGGGAGAAACACTATTTACAGCCTACCTAGAAAAATCTTACAAACTGGGAACCTGGAAGCAGTCATTTTTTTAATGTTTGGAGATCTCTGGGGTATTATATTTCCCTGAGGAGCATCTTTTCATTCTCTGGTCTGGAAAAGGGGTGAAGAGGGAAAGCAACAAAACAAAATTACTTAATTAAGACAGCAAAAATAAAAGCTCAAACTTTTTCTGAAGGAGTTTCGTTGGAGAACAGTGTGACTCTGGGACCCCAGGACAGTGAGGCCAGCACCTGCTGTCATGAAGGACACAGACCCATGTCAGGCGATGATGCCCTTTGTGGTTGTACAGCAAGATGATCGTGCAAACTGCCAGCCGACGCTCAGTTTCCCAGCATAAACGGCACCATGGCTGACACACTTGGGCAGAACGGGAGAGCAGCTGAAGCCCACTTCTACAATTCTGCGTACTGCCAAGTTTGAGCCAAAGAGAAAGTGCTAAGATGGCTCACCTCGACTGCTGAGACAACCCCTCAAATTTGTTTGCGTTCTTACTTGAAGATGATGGACCCACATCGTTACCTACAAAGAAAATGAAAAGTTCAAAGTTGTATCTTGCAACAGGCATGTATGGATATGGCAGGAACAGTACCCTTCAGATTTCAGAAAAGCAGTTAAAATACTTGAGCCAAGAGGGCACACATCTGGGGCATTACCACACAACAAAAATGAAGCATTCTGGGCTTTGATGTTTTTATTGCTAGCAAGTCAGAGATGAGCAGCCTGCTGCCTGAAAAGGCTTGTGTGGTCATCGAAGCTGGTGATGTCCCCTGACTCAGGATCTTGTCCTTGGCCTGGAGGCACAGGCAGAACCCTGAAAGTCTGGTACACCCAGAGGCTGCGATGCTGAGCCTAACCCACGAAAGCCTGTGCACATGACTGCAGGCACAGGCTCTACTTGAAGGGTACTGTTCACTGGCCATCATTCACCCTTGGCCACTTACAGAGATGTCATTCAAGTGCTGGGTGTGACTGTGGAGCAGGAGGCACAAAGGCAAACACGCCACTGCTCCCAGAGTTAGAGTCACACACAGGAACTACATAACAATGTGGAATGAAGTGAGCATTTAGTCAGACTGGTTGCTGTGAAGACAGAGAGGAAATGGTGTCTAAAACTCAGAGTGAAAGGGTAGGAGATGTCTTCCTTGGAGGATATGGTACTTGAATAGGTCCAAGAACTTTCCAGTGGGGGAGTGGCCTGTAAGTGGATATGACTGTGCTTTGCCCAAAGTGTCAGAATTGGGTTAGATAAGAGTGGGTTTTCCTGTGACCGTTCCACAGCAGGAGGCTTGCAGGCAGGTGAACTCGTACCCGGGAGAATCAGGAGATGAGGCACTAAGCCTCACTCCATGACGTGCTGCGTCCACTCCGCAGCACTGACAGCTGCCCAAATGCTCTGACATCTGTCTGAACGCCTTCCTCACAACCCCATGAGACACGCACCTCAATCTCCCTTTAAAGGAAGGGAAACACGGGTAACTACATGAATGCCTGAAGGCCCCTTGACTATAATGACACACCTCAAAGTTCTGACCACTAACCTGTGTGCTCTTCCTGACCTATCGTGCTGCCCCGCAGTGACACTGATAATGAAAACTACTGTTTATAGAGCACTTACAAGAAGGTATTGTGCCAAGCACCTCAAGGTAATTATGCTCTTGAGAAGTAATCATTTCTTCCATTTTATATACGAAGAGACATGCAGAACAGTAAAGAAACTTGCTGAAGAGTGGAGCTGCTGGTTAGGGCCAGAGCTGGGATATGAAGCCAGCAGCCCGCCTCTAGCACTTGTGCGTTGACTCCCAAACTCCACCCTCCCGTTCTACTGCACCTGCTGAACAGGTGCCGAGACTGGACCTCCTGGACACAGCACTCACCAAGAAACACGCAAGCTGGCATTACCAGCACTGAAGACTTTCAAAGTCAGTTCTAAGGAGAGAGTCCTTTTAATGATCAGTGTCCTTCTATAATCTCACAGCGTAATATTTGAGGACTTTTTTTGGCATTTCTTATGAAAACCTGAGCTGTGATTTCCTTTATGGTAGGCATTTTTCTCAAGCACCAAGCTCAATGCTGAGTTTATAGCACTGGGCCTTATACAGTACTTTGAGACTTCAGCCATAACAAAAAGTTTGGGGAATAAACTGTTGCACCCACTAACTTATTACTAGGAAGAAAACAGAAACACTTCAAACAAATGGCTATTAACCCAGTCATGCATGAATGAGCTGGACACCAGCAGGCTGAAGCTCCTGGCTCTGCTGTCACATAGGTGAGTCACTACCATACGTGCCACAGCCCACATGTCCAGTTTCCATTTTATCTTCTCCCGTGGTCTCTCAAGGTGACCTGCCATTCCCCAGAGAAGGATTTTATGCCTCCAACTTTGTTCCTTTCGTTCTTCTCCCCTGTGATGGCTGTTCCTTACTGCTCTTAGTGAATTACTAAACCACACTGAAAGAACATCTCCGAAGTTGTTTTCCCAGAATCCTCTGACCACTCCCTCCTCCTTCTAGGGAACAGCGAAGGGTGCAGACTTCAGAGGCAGACAAGCCTGCCCAGGAATCCCAGCTGTACCCCTGAGCTGCAGGTAGGAGTGTGGAAGACACTGCTTGTTCTGCTAAGCCTCCATCTATACATCGGGGATAACAATTATACTCACTATACTAGATGTCTGTGTGAGTGGTAACTAGGGCTTTGATTAGACTGCTGATCCCCGAGAAGCATGACACATATGGTAGTTAGGCTTCGTAGCCCTACGAGATGTAAAGGAAACAATGCTAATCTCCCCCATGAGCAGGCACCCCAGAGATGGGCTCTCCCTTCATCTCTGTAGCCCCCACTTTCTAGCACGACTAGCCCCTGCTACAGGACAGGACCAACTGGGCTGACTGCTCAACTTCTCTGCCTCCGTGTGACTTCTCACTCCAGCTGGGAAGGCATTTGTGCTCAGCTGACTCGGACTCTATCTTTCTCAGAGCTAGGCAGAGGCTATCCGCTGTGCCCTGGAGGAAAAGTGTGGCTTAGAAAAAATTCTGCAAGTAAGACAATACTAAAGAGTAATGAGGAGCAAAACCATAGAAGCATTTCAATCTTTTTTTCTCCACACAATTTGGAAAAGGTCCTTGGTATATCATAAATGTGTTTAAGAGGGCTGGAGATCGATGTTGGGCAGGCTGCTGAAGAAGCTGTGGCCAAGACTCTCCATTCCTGACCACGTGGATCAGAAGCTGCAGACCAAGAGTTTGTAAAAACAGCAGAGGGTATGAATCACACGAGCCTGAAATGGGCTCAAATCCTAGTTCTGAAGTTATCGGACTTACAGTACGTGCAATTCTTAATTTCTGTGCTTCAATTTGCTCATCAGTAGACTGGGGACAACAATCCCTATTCTATAGAATGGTTCTGAAGGCTCAATAAAAGCATATGAAAAAGTTATCTGCTTTATATTAAAACAAATGCTTACACAGGGGCTAAGGTGAGGAATGTGATTCCCAGAGGTCACTCAGGTGGGGACTGGCAGGACCTGGAACAGAATTTGGCCTTCTGGAATGTTCATTCAGTGTATGCAGGGTCTCCCTGATGTGCACTGCACACACATTTCTGTAAATGTGGAAGGTCAGAGGCCTTGTGCTGAGTGGCTCTCAGTTATTAATCCCAAGAATCTTAAGGGCAAGAGCAGGATTAATCTTACACCTACCATGAACTAGATGATCGGGTATATTTTCTTCTTTGCTCTTTTCTGTAAGACCCTGGGTCATATCCATGGTCCACTTTCAGGCCTGACATATGACATTATGTCATGGATTTTGAGAAGAGATCACACTCCTGGATTTCATCTTACTTGGCTACATTTATTTTTTCCTTTGTCCTTGTTTCCATATAACTTAAATAGTGTTAAAGTAAGAGTTGGTCTGTTTAAGGTGGGTTATTAAAAAAGGGGGAGGTTTAATGAAATGCCACTTCAAAAGTCAAAGTCCCCACAAAACTCAAATCTCTCCACCGGGGATGCCTTCATCAGAAGCTTGCCTCAGAATCTCCCGGGTCTGACTGCCAAAGCCATCATGGAAGTGGGGTTTCAGTTAACTCGAGATCTGGGTGATTTGGGGCATGGTGGACGTTGTAATTCTTGCAGAAACAAAGCCTGGAGCGGCCCTTCCCACTTGGGCAAGGCTGGAGCTGCAGCCTAGGGCACCCTGCTGGGGTGACAGTGAGGCACAGCCTGCATCATGAGGCTGCTTACCGGGCCGTCTGTGCCCAACACAGCGCCTCCTCCAGGCCTCTGCTTCTGGGCAGAGACAACTGCTGAGAGGAGTGGACTCACCCGGCCGCCGACCTGTGGGGCAGCAGGCAGTGTGGAGAGGGCGAGGCGTGCGGGTTCTTAGCCCCATAGGCTGAGCCAAATCCTGGCCGGTACCTCTGTGAGAACTGGCCAAGTTGTTGGAGCTCTCTGAGCCCAGGCTCCTGAAGGCCGGATGCCTGGGACCTCGGTCTTGTTAGACACACTAATGCTTGCCAAGTGCTCAGTTCTTGTACTCACTTTATAAAACATCACATGTAGGGTTCTTATCTAAAGCTTTTGGATGATGATGAATGGGCATTTTCTTTTTTCCTACACCCACAGATCTGCAGGAGGACTTATGAAGGCACAGAATGGGGTGAGAGGTGAGAAGAACCTGTCGTGAAGAAAGTGAGGCCTCCTGTGAGGCAGACGCACTGAAGGGCGCGCTCCTGGTCCTGTCTGCACTGTCTCGGTGTCGAGCTCCTGTCTGGTCTACTCACTTTGTAAGACCAAACTCACTCCACCTCCTCAGATGGCCTGCCACCTCCTTCTTAAAGGCTGGTGTGGGGCCGGGGCCGGGGCCGGACTAGCAGTCAGCACAGAGCAGAGACACCTGAGTCCAGAGACAGGAATTGTGGGAGGACCCATCACCCATGCAAAGTTCAAAACATGACAGATACACTTCCTCCCTGTGGTGAGGCAGGTCCTGGGGAGGGGAGGGGAGGGGAGGGAGAGGAGAGGACAGTTTGGGCTGTGTGGCTGGCTGGCATCTTCTCTGAGGACTAAAAGAACAGGCAAAGATGGGGGGAGACTTGAGGATGATGGGAATGTATTTTGCATGTGGGATCGATGTGACTCTTTAGTGGCCAAAGGCCTAGCTAGGAGAGGTTGAAACAGACCAGCTAAAAGATATCAAGTCCTCATCTGTGGAACTTGTAAATGTGACTTTATTAAGAAAAAGAGTCTCTGCCAAAGTAATTAAGTTAAGGATTTTGTTTGTTTCTTTTTTGTTGTTTTTTGAGGCAGGGTCTTGCTATATAGCCCAGGCTGGCCTTGAACTCACTATGTAGCTCACGCTGGCCTCTAACTCATGGGGATCCTCCTGGCTCAGCTTCCCAAGTGTTGGGATCACAGGGGCATGTCACCATGCCCAGCTGTTTCATTTTTTGGGACAGGTCTCACTGGCTGGCCTCAAAATCTCAAACTTCCTGCCTCAGCCTTCCAAGGTTAAGGATGGTGAGATGAAGAGGCTACTACCAGAAAATCAAGTAGGTCCTGAACACAGTGTCAGGTGTTCCTTCAAAAGAGAAGCACAAGCAGTTTCAGAAGCATTCAACACCGAGGAATAGAGAAGAACATTCCAGGATGAGGACATAATGTGACTAAAGGCCCAGATTGGAGGGGCCAGAAATGTAGTCTGGGCACCTCCTGTACTTCAGGGTGACTCACTGGGGCAGACAGAGGGGCCCGTGCCAGGCCAGAGCAACAGCACTCACTCCAAAGGCCCTGGTCTCTGTCTCATCTCCACAGGCTGAGGTGGCAGACTGAGGGCCCCTGAGCGCTCCGGGAAGATGGGAGCACAGGGGACTGGCATGCTCCAGGGAGGCTGGTTTCCTTGTGCCTCCCTGAGTCCCAGCCTGACTCCTGCCCTGGGCTTCTGGAATGTAAGGGCAGCAGGAGGCAGGGGGCGGGGTCACCATGCAGTGACTGCATGGCAAAGCAGGAACATTAGATCAGGACAGGCACACCATGCTGGTGAGAAGGCAAGCTGAGTCCGCCTACACACAGCCCATGACCTACCGTGTCTGCAGATGCATCTGTGTGCATCTATCACATTCACACTCACACACAGACCACACACAAGTAACGGCCTGGGGAACTCCACAATTTGCACTGGGATCTGTCTGGAAATGGTCACCAAAGCCACAGTGTGTGGAAGTGTCACTTTTGCAGAGGACAGACTGAGTTTTGCCATTCAGGGCTGGCTGTCTGTAGGCAGGGGCACATCGTGGACCCTGAGGGAGGGCCACATCTGTGCAAGGCTTTCAAGCTCCCTGCTGACTGTCCGGAGGCAGTGATGTCCACAAAATGATAACCTTGTTTCTTAGTGAAAAAAGCCCCAACCCTACCAGCACTGGAGAGGAAAAAGAAAGGCCAGGTGCTAGCATCGCTGCTGAGTAAAAAGAAAGAGGAAATCTAAGGAAGTGACGATTTTCAGGCTACAAAAATTTGGAAAATGTATTCAGGGAATGCTGGAATCTTCGCAAGACGAATAAATACAAGCACTATGACCTATGCAGAAAGAAAGCCAATTAAACAAGAGGACCAAAGTTCAGGAAAATTTGGAAAGAAGGTTAATTTGTGACATGAAAAGTTTATATAGGAAACCTGTGACTTTTTTTGTCTTTTGAGGTCTTGGTATGTAGTTCAGCCTGGCCTTGAACTCACTATGTAGCTCAGGCTGGGCTCGAACTCATGGCAATCCTCTTGCCTCAGCCTCCCAGGTGCTGAGATGACAGGCAGGTGCCACTGCACTGCTAAAACCTGTGACTTTCAATGGAATGTTTTTCTGGGGGAATTCTTTGTGACAAATCTGGGGACTCCTGAAGGCCCTGGAATGCAACCCTTAAAAACATCTAGGACATCCTTGGTATTTATGTACCTGCCTTTATGCCTAGATTCTGGCTGCCTTGCTTGTTTTTCCAGGGGACTGATTAACACGCATCTCAGAGGTGCACTCCTCTGAACCTCTGCTAGCTTTCTCATGCAGTTTGATGCTATTTTCCACAGTACCTGGTTAAATGTGCGTGCTAGCAGCAAAGGGCATGTACATGGTTTATTCCACGGTTCTGCTCTGAACCTGAGCTCTGTGAGCACACACCTCAAGAAGACCCAAGCAGGAGCCACAGTAGGTGCCCTAAATAGGCCTGCTGAGTTGAAGAACACATGGCTAATCAAAGACGTATTTGTATACACACATCCCAGGGCATCCGGGCCAAGCAGTGAACAGGTGTGCCAATCTGTAAGTGGACAGTACGGCTTTTCCCAAAACCTCAAAAAATTCACAACACCTGAGATAGGTTTTTGAGGAAGCCTTTAAAAGCAATGAGCTGAATTACCTATCTATATGATAAACACGATTTTACAAAAAGCCATAATGAAACTCTCTGGAAGGAAGAGTAGAGACATGCAGCACAGCACATCCATTCAGCAGGGCTCCTGTGTGTCGTCATGGGCCAGGACCCTGTTGGTGACGGGATGACCCCAACTTGTAGGAACACTACTAGTAGGCTAGGAGGAATTATGGGAATTAGGTTTCTCATGGACAGGAATTAGTCATCTGCAGTCAGTGTCACTGAACTGATTAAACTAGTGGCCTTTGGAAAGGTTATTATTCAGTGGTAAGAGATTCCTGAATATCCACCATGTGCCAGGCATGATTCCAGGTTCTGTAAACACAGGTGAGAACAAGACATGGAACATACATTCTAGGGAGAGACAGACAAGTAAATAAAGTACTCCTCAACTCAGGCAGGTGCTGGGGAGAAAACGAGCTCCTCAGAGAGGACAGCCAGGGAGACAACATGCAAGGTGAGAAGTGAGAGAGGACAGGGAGCCTGCCCTCAAGGAGCAAGACCGAGAGCTGAGCAGGGAAGGGCCCTCAGCAGGGAAGGAGCGGGGCAGCCAGGAGGTGAAGGAGGCCAGGGCAAGAGCAGTGATAAGGGCCCCCGGCGGGAGGCTCACGGAACCGCCATTAAAGGGTGTTAGGGAAGAGGGACCGAGCCCTGATTCATGTCATAGGGAAACCACTTTGGCTGTTGGGAGAGAATGGATTCCTTAATTTTCTGAGCTTTTGTTTTCTCTTCTGTGTGATTAATACCTACCTCAAAGAGCTGCCACGTGACCGAGTGAGATTTAGGTGAGGCTCACACCTTACTACTGTTATAGTCAGCCCTCTGTACCTGCAGTCCCTACCCACGGATTCACACAATTGTGGACTGAAAATATTCTGGAAAACATGGTCTGCACAGAACAGCTACAGACTTCTAATGTGACATTTACACTGTACTGGGTATGTAGTGTGCCCCATCTGCGGCCCACCTTTGTAAAATGTTATAATAAAAAGTAAAAGAGGAGTTTTGGTTATTACCTTCACTATGCTATACACCTTATATGCAGCCCAAGACAATTCCTCTCTACTCAAAAAAGAAAAGAAAAAAAAGGTAGACCTTGGATTGGACACGTTAATGTAACATACTCAGGTTACATGCAAATACTATGCCATTCACATCATTTTAGATAAGAGACTTGAGTATTTGCAGATTTTAGTTTCCTGGGGAGACCTTGGACTCACTCCCGTGATGATACTGAGGGCAACTATATTCATTACTATAATAGTTTCTAATGGCCCCAAGCATTTCTGGAGATGTTTCTTAGCCTGCAGAGGCAGGCATAATTGCACTAATACACAGCCAAGTCCTTATCCAGTACGTGTGCAGTTTGGTCCACTTTCTGAATGTGTTAACTGCCCACTGACCAGTGGAGCCCCACACACGGCCTGACCCTGGGCAGCTGTGGCCCTGACTTTAGGTTAACTTACCCCAAGGAACTGCGCCTTTGTTTGGGGGCCCATGAGGTAGTGGGCTGGGAGGGTCAGACAGGGTTCTCTTGTGTCCGGGTGGTGGGGGAGGAGGCCTCTTCTTGGATAGGGTGGAGCTGCCACTAGAGGTCTGGGTGCTTAGAGGGAGTGTTGAAGGTGGGCCAGTTGGACCTAGAAAGGAAATTGAATGGGGCAGGAAGGTTAATCCCAGTCTCACAGACACAGAGCAGCCAGTATGCAATTACTTCCACGCAGCAAAATGTGGTCTGACACATGGAGATGAAAGAAAAGGGCTGCATGTGGCCAAATCCACCAACCCGACACTCACAAACAGAGCTTTAAAATTCTTTTGGTTAAAAAAAGAAAATTATAACAAAGGAAAGGAGAGTGTGTGGTTTTAAGGAACAAAATGCTAGTCAACACAGAATGTGAAGGGTGTAGGTCATCATTTAGGGGCAATGGAAAAATAACACACACACTTTAACCCAATGACACTGGAATCACCACAAAATCCACTGAGGAAGAAGGCACACAGCACAACCGGCAGAATCAACTGAAAGGGAGCACAGTTCTATATAAGCTGAAACAGGAAATAATTCCTATAACAGGACTTTTCTTCTCCACTACATTTTCTTCTTTTAGTCAGCAAGCTGAAGTTTGTTCTTTAATAAATGTCTAAATAATAAAAGATCTAAAGTTACCTAGAAAAAAAGTGAAACCCCAAAACCTCATTTTTTGCTCCACTTCTGAATAGTTCTAGACGTCATAAACCAGCAATTATGTTGGAAGCCTGTGTTTGTAAAAGCATTTCTGGGATGTCTTAGTTTTAGTTCATTCTAAGTTACATTGAAGTGGCTGGTGTGTGTCAGGCACTATGTGATGGGCACTTGGACAAATACTTTCTCATGGAATATCACCAGGTGTATGGTTTAACCACATCCATGAACAACTGCTTCTGCAAACATTAAGAAAAACAAAAAGGGAACAAAAGAAAAAGCTAAGAACACTACCACACCAAATGTTTAACACAGGGTAGTAGATGCCTGGTGATCCAGAAAGGCTCCAAAGTGCTTTTTATACTCTGTGTATTAAAAGAAAAGCTTAATTACTACTGGCCTCTTTCCTGGGTAAACATCAGTATTTTCCATCATCAATTACCAGTCAGTACTACCAATGATTTAAACCACTGATTCTCAAAGATTGTCTAGTCTTCTCAGTAATATTAGTCAAATGATAGTCTGTATTAGGATTAAATGGTCATAGCTATATGATTTATTCTGCTTCAACGATGAAGTCCATGATAAGAGACTTCATAGTTACCCCAAATCAACATCTAATCCTGGTATCAATTACTGCAGTTTTAGAAACTATTTTATTTTATTTTATTTTTTTTTGGTACCGGGGATCGAACTTGGGTCCTTACGCTTGCGAGGCAGGTGGCGGAACCACTGAGCTAAATACCCGGCCCTTAGAAACTATTTTATGTTAGCAAAGTAAGGTGACTATTATAGCCTTGGATTTGTATAATGCTTTGTAGTTTTCAAAACGCGTTTGTACCCTATTCCTTTTGATGTTCACTAACAATCCCATGAGGAACATGGGTCCAGTACTGTTCCTATTTTGTAGCCAAGAAAACAGAGGGGTTGGCATGGTCAGGCACACAGACGTGAGGCACAGAGTGGGGACAAAGCAAGTGCTTGGGTCTGCTGAGACTCTCACCCCATCCATCAACACTGCCGGCTCCTTAAAGCTGGGGCAGCATTTCCTACGCTTGGCACATGAGGAAAACAAAAACTGTTCAGTATCAGGAAGTGTAACTTTCCTCTTGGAAATAAACGCATTACAGATGAAATGGACAATGGTGAGATTCTCTGGCAGTTTCATCTTTATCGCCATCTACAGACCTTCTGGTGCGGTGGATCTGAAAAGTCAATGGGGTTCCTGTTTGGAACAAACGCTGCAAAGATAAAATGCTCATGGCGCCTCTCTGAGAAGGGCTGTGTATGTGTGTGGTTCCAGGAGTGACCACACCTAGGAGTCCTCTCATCAGAGTCCAGCCCCAGCATCCAGGAGCTTGGCCAGATGCAGCAAGTGGGAGCCTGCTTCAGATGGAGCCCTGCTCTGACCCACAGCTCAGTGCTCAGCCTTTTAACAGATCACTTCCCCTCTGACGGGCACTGCGTCCTCTCTGGTCAGAAGCTCAGAGATGTGAGCGAGTTTTCTGCACCCCTCGTCCTCACCCTTCAGTGGTCAGCTCGATGTTACCTTATGTAACCAGAGTTCTGTAACCTGCCCTCCCCGGGGAGACCGCTGCACCTCTGAGCCTCCACACAGGTAAAGGTGCTAACTCTCTTCTGCCTTGTTTTAGAGCTACTGCCTTGCCCTTCCCAGATGGTGCTCCCACAGGGAAACGACCTGTACTCTGCACATTTCCCAGCGCCAGCACCTCACACATCCTGGGTGTTGGTGTTCACAGGAGGCTCAGTGCCAATCAGCAGGATGCACTTCCGGTGATCTGCATACCTGCCTCTCAGTAAATGGTAATCCAGAAGCCTTCCATCTGGGAGGCCAAATGAAAGTACATCTCTGAAATTTCCAAGAAAAAGCCAATACCTACAAGATGGCTTGAAAAATTAACCTGACAGTTAAAAAAACTTGTCTGCAGAAGTACAAGTGACATATTCTAACATGCCATAGAGAGGGATAAGATATCTACACAGATAACGGACAACGTGAATGAAAATTCTTTCTCTTTAAAATCTATTTTAAATTGACAAATGAGTATTGCATATATTTATTGTATGCAAAATGTTGTCCTAAAATGTATGTACACTGTGGAGTGGCTAAACTGAGCTAATTAACCTGGATTACCTCACATTTATTTATTTGTGGTGAAGACACTCGAAGTCTATACTCAGCAATTTTTCAGAATACATTATTATTAACTAGGGTCACCACACTTCGCAACAGATCTCTTGAATTTGTTTCTATCTAACTGACTGTGGTACTTATAGTATGGAGCTTGAAGCAGGAGAAAGTTTATGTTAACTATTTTAAAAGTAGATGAAGACACAAGACTATATATAATTTATGCTGAAAAAGAGTCCGTGTAGAAAGAAGGAGCTGCTATCTCTGTGTTCACATGGGAAACAGGCACAAAGAGCTATGGTGGCTAGGTCAGCAGCACACTGGCCAGGGTCCCAGCAGGGCAGGCTGGAGCCCATGCAGGACACCGCTCTGTCGGCTCATCTCCGCAGAAAACAGCACTAGCTGTTCATCTGTCCTTCGATCTCTTTCTGTGACCCAGATAATCAGGAGAAAAGTACTGGATTCAGGGTTCTTTAACAGCTACTCATACAGCCCTCAACTCAAGAAGTACAACAAGGATTTCTTCTTTTTCCCTCTCCATGGGTCACTCAGGGAGTCTGAGTCAGTGGCCACAGTTGAGGGCAAATATTACAGACAATGATCTCAGCCAACATTGGCTGAGTCTTGTGCAATGTTTTAAAAAGGACTGGGAGAAATTGATAAAGGCCAAAACAAACCAAAAACCCAAACACACGGACAATAGTCCACGGGAAGTTACAGACTCAAAGGAAACTGCTGTCTTTGCCTGAGATTAAAAAGCACTTGGAAACTGTAGTCATTGGTCTCTATCAATATAAGTGCTGATAGGAGAATGTGCGTCTGAATCATCTAGTAGTGCACTTCCCCAAGGGTAGGCCACTGCAACGAGCTGAGACATCTCCTTTCCATTCATCTCTGTCCTGGAATTACTGCTCTAGGCCCCAGAGGGAAGCTGGAGAAGTGCTGCATAAAATGCTTGCACAGCTGTGTTGGGGCACAACTGCGGCAAACATCTCACACAGGGATTTTCAGTGAGCGGCTCTCACACCCCCAGGACATCTGGTTTAGTTTTATGCGTGCCCCTCCTTACTCTGCCCACTTATTTGTGGGACATGCTCTCGCTGACTCTTTCTGTTGTTTGTGTAGTCCCAACAAGCACTGACGCCGGGGAGCACTATGCTCTGCATGCTGAGACAGCTCATGCACAGCCTGCCCTGGAGCAGTGCTGTCCAACAACCAGGAGAGGGAAGAGGAGACCTCGGGCCCCTGCAGAGCTGAGCTGCATCTCCCCCTGTGACACTGGCAGCACCACCCCACAGTCCAGGGCCCTCACTGCCTCCTCCCCACACAGCAGCACTTGCCCCATCTCTCCATCCCCACTCCTGGGATGTTCATTCTCGGGATATTTGTTGGCCTGAAAACATGCAGTGGGATGGAACAAACACAGCTGCTGAATGCTCGCTCTGTGCTTACTACACCACAAACTTCACTCCACGTTTCTAAGCTGGGGCCCTACAAGGTAGATGCCAGTGCCTATTCTCAGGTGAAGACCCTGAAACCGCCGACAGCTGAGTGTTAGGACGAGACATGCACAAGGGCAGAACTGGCCCTTATGGGAAGGAATCAGTCTCCTTTGTGGGGCAAGGGAAAGGTGGCTTCTTGGGAGAAAGGAGTTTGAAGGCATCTCAGGTTCACAACTACTCAGGTAGCTGACATCTGGCCTGACAGACAAGCTGTCCTAGACACTCTGACTCAACATTCCCTCACTAACGAGGGAGAAGTCTCTTCACCCAAACTGACAGCCAGGGATGCATCTAGCTGACACTCTCCATGGCACTGCACCTTTATCAACAGCATCTACGGAGGCTCTCAGTGTGCCAAGCACTGTGCTTTTTTTTTGGTACTGGCGATCGAACTCTGGGACCTCGCGCTTGCAAGGCAGGTGCACTGTCACTGAACTAAATCCCTGGCCCCACTGCGCTGCTTTTGTGAGGCTCTCTGGTGGTTTATCAAACTAAGGCTTGAGCCTGTCCAGGGTAGAAAGTCTGCACTACAGCAAATGTGTATGAAACGCAAGGTTATGCTCACAAGCATCTGCATGCTGAGCAAAGGGCTGCACATAGCCTGATTCCGGGGGGACTCCTCATGTCATGAACTGCAACGAGCACATCAGCTGGTCCAGGTCCCGAAAGGTTGGAAAGTTAGTCCTTTAAGATAAGTTATCTCTCTTGAATCAGATTTATTATTCATTTACCTATCAAGCCCCTTGGGTTAAGGTGTCTCCCAGTGCCAGGCCTCACTATCTGGAGTGCCTCTTAATTTAGCAGGTTGGTGATGTCTCTGGCGCCTCCTCCCTAAGGGAGCCTCTTCTTACAAGACGAGGAGCTGCAGAGGTACCGACACCACACTGGTGTCCCTGTGTAGCACGAGTTACCAGGTGCTGAGCTAAATGTTTCCTACACTTCTCATTCAACCTCCACAGCAGTCTCCTGTGAGACTGTGAGAGTCTGAGGTGCAAGTTCCTCTCATTGCTACACAAAAAGCATGAAGTTGGACAATGACAGAAAGCCACAGTTCTAAAGTTTTAAATTATTTGAAAGCACAGTTAAATCAAACCAATCAATCAAACAAAACAAGCAATGGGTGTCTTTAAGGTCCTGTTCTGTGGGGTGGGTACTGCAGTATGGTACTGTGTCCCCTCACACTCTTCTACATGCTAAAAATATCGCGAGTCATAGAAGTCCCTTAGATGGTGCAGAGGTTTGCAGTTTACACAATGCTTTCTCCACATACTGTCTCATTGGATTCTGATGGCAACTGCACAAGGCAAGAGAAAGACAGGCATCTTCTTCAACCCAGTAGAGAAGGAACTAGGAAAGCTGGTCTGACAGCTATAAGGCTCATTTTAATTTTCTATACTATTCCAGCACCACATAACCTGAAATAAATTCCTTAACCCTTCCAGGGATCAGTTTCCTTATCTGCGTAATGGGATACAGATTGTTAATCTTTCAGCATTCTATTAGTGCTAAAAAACAAAATCCAAGTTCCATGACATTATTTTAGCTTAACAACGTAAGACAGGGCCGGGGATGTAGCTCTGCAGCACAGCACCTGCCTGGGAAGCTCCAGGTCCTGAGTTCAATCCCCGGTACCAATAAACAAAACAAAATAAAACAAAACGAACAGCTAAAGACGGATAAATCTTGGCAAGCCTGAAGTACTTCTAGTCTTTAAACGTACATTTACTTCATTTATTTTCTCTGGACCTCCCCTTGAAGAGTGCAGGCAGCTGGGTTCCTATGAGGCCAAGGACGTGAATGTGGAATTCTGAACTGCAGTGTTCTGAGACTGAAGCCCTGCTTAACCACAAAGGGGCTTTGCTTTGTGGTCATTTAGGCTAAAATTTCCTGAATTTTGATGAAGCAGCTTGAAAATATTCCTAAGCCAGGTTCAAAAGAGCTCTACCGTCCCACTCTGTAGTCCTCTTGTTCGTGGGGACTTTGTCATGCGTGTGTTCCTGCCTCACCAACACCACCATCTTTCAGACCCTAAATTCACAGCTGTGGAGATGACTTCTGCTGCAGACAGACACCATGGCATGGCTTTCCACGCCATGGAGAAACTGTTCAGATGTGGGGCCACAAAGCCATCTCTGCATGAGCATCGGCTGCCCTTTACCAGTGTCTTCCAGGAGCTCCCCGCAAAGCATTGCCCGTTCTCCAAATGCAAAGACACACAGGTCAAGGCAGCCACGTCCCTAATGGAAGTCATGAGAGGGCTGCACTCCTCATGTCTCACCAGCAGACAGGGAATTCTCTGAATCTGGTCCTGCTATGACAGCCAGGAGGAACACTCTTAGCATAGTAGGGAGGGATTTCTATCTCCAATCGTGGGCTTGCTTTTTAAGGGGAAGGATAAACAGTCTATCCTTAGTTGACCACAGCTGCTATGAACAAGTCTCCAAGCTACTGTTTCAGCAGCCAAATCACTACATAAATTTAGTCTCTGTCTTCTGGGTCTCTGGTGAAGAGCTAGTTAGAATTTATTCAAGGCAGCAGAGACGCTTGGCCCTGAGCCCAAAAGTGTATCTATGGGTTTCTGTGTCCCTTGAGGTAAAATTACAGAAGTGAGCAGAAGGAAGTATGTGTGTGGTGTGTGACGGCCCCAGGACTGACATCAGTTTCTCCTGTAGCCTGTGCTGCAGGTTCTCGATGACCTGAAAGCTCTCTGAGTAGACACAGAGAGGTACCTTGTCTGGACCGGCCACTGCATTGTGTCAGTAACCCCAGTGAGGAGAGATGAAGCCTTTCTGAGTCACCTCTTCCACCATTTCATTTGGCCTGGAGTCTTTTCACAGTGCCTCTGCTTTTATCAGATGGCTACTCTGATGGAGAATAGGATTTCTTGGGGGAAACAGCAGCAGCACTCGGCACTACAGGGCTTCCGGTTGATGTGTTAATGATTTTAAAAAGTATGCTCTAATGCAGTGCATGGACCGGTAAGACACACTGGCAGGGTAAGCCTTTGGCTTACATGTGCTACTCCGGTTAGGGCCCCTGGTTATCTCTGATGAGAACTGCTCAGGCCACAGCCTTAGTTTAACTTTCTTCCATTATTTTATGATGCATGAGGCCATTTGGGGTCTAAGAACACAGCTCCCATTTATAACATGATATCAATGAAGAATAAGCTCTGAAAAAACACTGCTTTGAATAAAGCTCACATTCCCCAGAAAACAGCCCCAGTGTGATTCAAACAGGCATGGCATTGTGCACCGAGAGCCCTCGAGGCCTGTGCTACCATGGGCTGAGCATACAGGGGGAACCCTGAATTTTGATTTACTTGCAAAGACCACACTGGAAGTTGCAGCTCAGGGAGCCTCCCAACCATTCCCCTGGCTGGGCTGACTCCTGATGCTGGCATTGCTGTGCCTTATCCTGTCTCTATTCAGGTATCAAAGAGCACAGAGGATGAGGCCCCACTGCTATAGAACAGGGTGGTAGGCCCCTCCTGGAGGTACAGTGGACCCTTGACTTATGAACTCAATTATTTCCCGAGGGCTGGTTGTAACTCAAGTTGGTCAATTGCCTTCAAAGTCACTCTCCTGTACACAGGCAGATCTCAGGTCGTGAGAGAGACCCTGGCCCAGGATTTCTCAGTTAACCCCACACAGGAAAGGATGCTGTAATGCTCCTTCCAGAACTCTGTAAGGGCTAAATCTGTAAACAGATTTAAATCTGGAAACACAAGCAGCTGGCATTCGGGTCAGAACTCAAGACTTGGGTTGTAAGTTAAAACTAAAATTCTAGTGTAACCCCAAGTTGTTCGTATGTCAGGCCAGTGGTAACTCGAGGGTCCATTGTAGGTGAAAACATAGAGCGCTGCACTCCTCCAGGTGACTCCTCCCCGGGAGCAGTTCCACGAGAGTGCAGGACATGGGCTAGAAGGGCAGCTGAGGACTGGCGCCAGTTCCCTGGCATCTCTGAACCACAGTCCCCTCACCTACACGATGCCAGCATCCACCTCATGTGAGATCACGGGGCGAGAAGTGAGTGCCTGGCTTGGGGCCTCATGTGGGGCAAGCGCTCTGAAGTTCTTAATTACCATTATTGCTACCAGCACCTTCCACACAGAGGCACTTAGTGTAGAGAAAAGTAACATTTCACGGAACTGAAACTCTACCCCATGTTACACACAACATAGGTTTTGGAGAAATGCAGACCTGTCTCTCTTTTACCACTTCCCAGCTGTGTGACCATGGCAAGTTATTCCACCTCTTTGAGCCTTAGTTCCCTCTTCTGTAAAATGGGAGTCAGAGCACATGGACCATTGTGAGGCAAACACAAGATAACGAACGCAGAGGCCCCACCGACACTGCCTGTCTTGCTGCGGGAACTGGGAACAGCAAGGTGTCTATTTCATGCTGTCCTCGACAGTACATTGCACACTCTGCCACTCAAACATACCTGCAGTTCTTAGCCAATGCTGGCCGGGCTGCCAGCTCTGGGGAAGAAGCTGCGAAGCCCTTGTCAAGCCCATACCTTTCCCAGCGTTCCTAGGAGGCAGAGGGGGAGCCTCTGCAGTTGGTGATGTGGGCGAGTCCGTGGTCGTGGAGATAAACATCTGGTTGGTGAAAGCTCCGTAGGAGAGCCGCTGCTTGTCCCGTGGAGTGCTGAATCCTGGCAGCGCCAACTTGTCTTGGGGGGAGATGCTGGAGGAGTGGCAGAAGCTCTGAGGCCTGGGTGAGCGCTCCTTCTTGACTGGGCTTGGCTGGCAGATGAGATAAGTGGGTGAGATAGTGGCTAAGGACTAGCCCTGGGGTGCACAAAGGCCCTCTGCAAACGAGGCCCAGGCGGTCAGCTTGCATTCCTGCAGCTCCCCGTGCTGTTCAGGTTAGCCATCGCAAGCCCTTCGCATCGAAGGCACAACGCAAGGGAAGACATCGCACTGCCACTTCCACGTCCCCATCGGCAATCAGCTTAGTCAGTACTGGCTAGGGACCCTCAGAGTACCAGACAAGCTCACTGTAAGGTTACAGTCAAGTTTAACAAGTACCTTCCCCGGGCAGGACACTCGCACCAACATTCCAACAGCATTCCCATCTATCTGCAATACGCGACATGAAGTTCTGTTCCCTGCTCAATCATTTAATGCTTTTCATCACTCTTCTCAATTTACACCCTCTTGGAAAGGAAGCTCATTCATACCATGGCTTTGAGGGGCCCGGTATATGCTGATGACTCAGATCTGTAAATCCCACCTGGCCCTTTAGATTCCCAAGCATCTGTCACTGCCCGTGCAGTGTCTGCTGTTCCACATGTGGTGATAGCATTAACATCCACTCGACTGCCCAAGTAAGAGACCTCAAGTCAATGGAACCCCAGGCACTGCACGGTGACCTCAGAAACAGCCCTCAAACCCATCACTGGGAGGTGTTCACCTTTCCCACGGCTGCACTAGCTTCTGGAATAGCCTTGACTCCACGGCCAGAGCTAGTTGAAAACCCTGCTCTTCTTGCTCTTCTGTTGGCTTCTGATTGCTTGCTTGGATAAGAGACAGATGGTCAGGCCTGGCTCACAAAGCCCTTCCTGATTTGGCCTGCCTGACTCTACAGGGCACCCTGCCGCTTCCCCCAACCATCAGGGCACCATATACTGTTCAGACATCTGCGCACTACCATGGCTCCTTGCCTCGGCTCACACTGTTTCCCCTGGGTAAAATGATTCCTTCCACCCTGGCAAGTGCCCATCTACCTCTGCGAGCAATCTCCAGTGCTGTTTCCTCGATCTGAATTGCACCATTTGCCAAGGCTCAGGAGCTGCTCGGCCCTCTGAACACTTCTCAGGAATTTCCTCAAACTCTCATGATCACAGTGCACTGTATCATAATTTATCTCCTCTTGAAGAGGTGAATAGCTTCAGCACCGTTCTGACCATTCCTTATATCCTGCCTGGCATTCAAGGGAATGCCTGGTATATATCCGGCGATAAACACATGAATATACTTCCAGTTAGTTAAGAACTTCCTCTGAGAGAGTTGCAGAAAAATAGGTTTAATCCAAGAGACCGTCTTTACTAGCTACGAGACTTCACACAGGTTGCTAAGTTCTTTAAGTTTTCTCTTGGGTAAAATGGAGACAACAGCAATACCCTTTATGCACTTTTGGTAAAGATGGACTAAAAAAACCTAAGTGCTTAACATTGCCTTGTCCATATTTAAATACTCCATAAATAACAAGTTTATTAATTAGCTGGGCTAAAAGTTAATTTACATGTCAGTGTAGCTAAGTCAGAATGTCCCAGTGTTTGGTCAAATACCAAAGTAGCTGCTGCAGCAGTTTTTCAGGCAGCAGGGTGGAGGTGGGGCAATGTGCATGGGGCAGGCAGTGTCAGGGGCTGAACCCAGGGCCTTGTGCATGTCAGGCGAAGGGTCTACCACTGAGCCAGAACCCAGACTAAAATATCTTTTAAGATGTGATTAAACACTGAAACGAGCAGGGTCTGTATTACCCTCATGTGAGTGGGCCTCATCCACTGAGTGGGGGGCTCAAGGGAAAAGAGCAAAGCATTCTGCTTCCAGAGCGCCTCCGGCCTCAGTCCTGTGTCTGCTCTGGGTGGGAGTGGTGTGGGCCAATCCTTTCAAATCAATCTTCCTCTCCTTCTATGCTATTTTTTCTGTTTCTCTGGAGAACACTGACTAATAAGCTGTTAAGAGGTGTGCAAGAGGGCGGGGATTTAACTCAGTAGTTTTGCCGCCTACTGCGCAAGCACAAGGACCCAAGTTCAATCCCCGGTACCCAAAACCCCCCCACAAAAAAAGAGGTGTGCAGCAAGAGGGACTGGTCCTCAAGCGTCAAAAAGGTTCCTGGTATATCAGGTCATAAGACGAAAATCGATCCATTTCACAAAAGAACAGCTCTTGTCCATACAACACATGGGACCTGGGAGTGGGCACCCTTTGTACGTACTTTGTCATCCAGATCGTCATCACTTTCATCCATCTCCTCCTGTCGAAGGTTCCACTCATATTCAACGTGGACGTGTGGGTTGAACTTGCCAGATTTAGCCTGGGAAAGCTAGACGTAACGGCAAGAGTAAAGCATTTTCAGCAAAGTGCCAAACACCCCAATATCACACAGACACTGAGCAAATCCCACTGTACTCCTGGTTTCCAGTGAATCAGCAGCAGCTGCACTGTGGACACAACTCTGATAAGACAAGCTGGACTGCTACATGACAGGTCCAAGGGACTGCAAAGAACTGTGGGTAGAGCCTTTCTTATTTTGATACCTTTACTTTTCTTTAAAATGAAAAGCTTTCTCAGTATTAAAATGAGTCTCAGGCTGGGCATGGTGGTGCACACCTGTAATCTTAGCATTTGGGAGGTTGAGGCAAGAGGACCACTGTCAGTTTGAGGTCAGCCTGTGCTGCAGTGAGTTCGAGGCCAGCCTGAACTACACAGTGGAGACCATCTCAAAAAACAAACCAACCAAACCAATCCACCCAACAAAAGAAAAACAGCAAAGAGAATCAGAACTGCAAATTCCTGGCTGGAGAACAAATTCAGGAATCTGTCAAGTTTCAGAGGTAGAGCTTTAAAGTTCTAGGCCAGTGATGGTAAACCCTTTAGAGCTTTCAATGAGACAAACAGCTCACTGCGGCATGAGTGCCATCAGTTCGCCACCACCACCCTAGTCCTTTTCTTATTTATTTATTTATTTTTTTGGTACCGGGGATCGAACTGGGGTCCTTGCGCTTGCGCAGAAGGCGGAAAAACTACTGAGCTAAATCCCCGGCCCAGTCCTTTTGTTATTTATAAAATGTAGGCAGGGATAACCTGGCTCAAAGGATTCTTATGTTTTTGAGATAGGATCCTACTGTTTAGTCCAGGCTGGTCTTGAACTCCCTGTGTAGTATAGGTTGGCCTCAAACTCTTGAATCTCCTGCTCCAGCCTCTTGAGTGCTGGGATTACAGGTGTATACTACCTTGCCTGGCTCTAAAAGGATTCACTTAACAATACAAGAAATACAACTACCAGGCCTGGAATGTGGCGTTTAGCAGACACCTGAGGGAATATAATTTTTCCTCTCCTATTTCTTCCTTTCTCATGTAGTATGGTTTGATTGTAGTTCGTTCCCTCTGAAACTCATGCTAGAATTTATTGCCTGCTGTGAAAGATTAAGTGAGTGGGAATTTAATTTGATCATGGAGTTTCGAGGTGAGGCCTTTGGGAAGCAGTAAGGACTAGACGAGGTCATGGAGTGGAGCCTCCCTGACTGAACACTGGGGGCTGTGGAGAAGTGGGAGAGAGGTTGGAACCTACACATGCTCCTGGTCTCTCATGGGGCGATGCCCTGTTCCAGTGAGGAGGCCATGAACCAGAGATGTGAGCCAAAATAAACCTTTCTTTTCAACCCAACCATGGTGTGGTACTGTGTTATCAACAGACCAAGACACCATGGTTGGGAGAATCATGCTAATGCAAAGGTCCAGATTATTAAACAAGAACTAGTGGAGTAAAAAATGGTGCATGTGCCTGAAAAATGGTGAATGGTTAGGAGAAAAGCATGTTTAACATTTTGAAAACCATTATACTCTTAGCTTTACTTGCCCTATTTTTGGAAGTACCTTCTCAAATAATTCTTTAATGGTAGCTGCAAAGAAAGCCTAGCAAATCAAAAACGTGGCCTCAACCCATAATCTCTCATCACACACCTCTCAAGTGCCTTTCAGCTCCCACGTTTTAACCACACTTCAAAGGGGAGCAGATGGCAGGCTCACTGTTTCACCACTTCTTCAAATATAGCTTAATGCTGTGTGCATTTCTTCAGGCAATGTTTAAAAACATGAATCTGCTTCTTTTATTTCAAATTCCAGCTTCTCAAAATGACTTTTTTTTTTGGTACCGGGGATTGAACTTAGGACCTTGCGCTTGCAAAGCAGGCGGCAGAACCACTGAGCTAAATTCCCAGGCCACAAAATGACATTTTAAAGGCAACTGATATCTAATAAATCTCCCCTTCCATTTTTTTTTTTGGTACCTGGGACTGAACTCAGGACCCTGCGTTTGCCAGGCAGGTGCAGCGCCACTGAGCTACATCCCCAGCCCTCCCCTTCCATTTCTGCTTACCAGATCTTCACACTGGGTAGCTTTTAGTCTCTTTGCTATGTCCAAGGCAGTTTCTCCAGCTTGGTTCACTAATACAGGGGGAAATAATTTCTATTATTAATCTACGCTAGATCTTACAAAGCCAAAGAACAACAATCAAATGTAACATGCAACTATGAATCTGAGTGAACACATGTTTTGCGATGGTTTTCAGACATCAGCGCCGCTCTCACCAATGTCCACGGTGGGCTTGCCCCTCAGCAGCAGCTTCATACACTCGGGCTTGCTGTACACGCTGCAGTAGTGCAGAACTGTGTTTCCCATGGAAGTCTGCTTATCGAGGTTCCCACTGAGAAACAACAATATAATCAGAAAAATGACTCACTTAACAACTTAAAACTATATATATACAACAGTTCCTCCCTTATTTGCAGGGTATATGTTCTAAAACTTTCTGCAGATGTCTGAAACCACGAATAGCACTAGATTCTACATATACTGCTTTTTCCCTATATCTATGGATAAAGTTTAATTTATAAATTAGGCACTATAAGGGAGTAACAGTAATTGTAACAGTATATTGTGATGAAAGTTATTTAAAAGTTAGGAGTTATTTCTGGAATTTTCCACTTAGTATTTTCACACTACAGCTGACCACAGGGAGAGGACACCTTAGCAGTGAAACCACAGGTAAAGGAGGGACTGTTGCAATCGATTTCTCTTTCCCTTCTCTACTCCCCTCCATTCTCTTCCTTGAGACAGGGTCTAGCCTTGAACTTATGGCTCTCCTGCCTTAGCTTTCTGCATAACTAGGAGAACAGGCACCAGGCCACCATGCTAGGCCTCATAACCACTTCTTTCTGTGCTAGTAACTGACTCAAGATTTGAGGCCTTATCAGAAACAGTGGAAATTATGATGTTTCTAACATTACACCTAAATTTATAAGCAACATGCAACATAAGCAACAGTGCTGGTAATCGCCAGCACTGATTAAGGGCCCACTACAGGACTGTCAGCTTTCTCACGAAGTAGCTCATTTAATCTTCACACCCACCTGACAGGGTGCTATTCACAGCCTCTACTATTTTACAGATGAAAAACCAAGGCACAGAGAGGCAGATCAAGTCAGCATGATGGAGGGGATTCAGACACAATGCTCTCAATCACTACGCTGGATTAGCCTTAAGGAAGAGGCCTGCACCCTCCGACAGTCTAGCTTGTGTCCAGGCACCATCTTTCATGTGTGGATTCCATCCCCTCCCCTATTTCATCACTCTCCTTTGGGTAGCTCCAGCTCCTCTTCATAGCCTGTTGCTTACAGATTAATCTAACAGAATCTGGCAAGCACACACCTTCTATGTTCAGTACTACACTCCCATCAGTAAGTCCCTAATCTGAATTGTTTTTATTTCACACTTAGTGAGGTCAGGGACTGGCAAACTGCAGCTGGTCAGCCATACCCAGCCCACCCAGTTTTTTGTGAATGAGATTTTATTGGAACACAGTCATGTTCATTTATTCACATACTGCCTGTGGCTGCTTTCACACCACAATGATGGAAGTGAACAGATGCACCAGAGATTTCATGGCCTGCAAAGCTTAAAATGATTACCTGGAATGTTACAGGAGAAGCTTGCTGAGTCCTGATCTAGGCTAATGATAGGCCTTGTGCTAACTTCTAAGTCGTGTTCAATTAATTCAATAGAGAAAACAACCATACCAGTTTTGTACAAGGAAGTCAACCAAATGGAGAGATGTCTGGTCTGCAGTTCGGACGGCAAGATGAAGGGCTGTCTCCCCGAGCTCCTGAGAAGGGAAGGACAGTTCTATGATTTACTTTTCTTTTTGTTTTTTTTTGGTACCGGGGATTGAACTCAGGTCCTTGTGCTTGCAAGGCAGGCGGCGACACGACTGAGCTAAACCCCCGGGCCAGGACAGGTCTAAATAGGGCAACACACGCCTGCTCATCAGATCTCCGAGTCACTACAGGCTCCCCTCTTTCTTAATCTTTTGTTTAGCCAAGTTCACCCAATCAACGTGTATGAATCTCAGTATATTGTATTAGGATTATGTAAGTGATCATTTAAACTAATTTCTTACTTTGAATCCTATGGCTTTAGTGAGGCCTCACCTGTCCGGATTCCAGCAGTGGTTCCATTAGCTCTACCCCTTCCGCATAGACTTGAATTAGTGCAAGTAAATCCCTGGATTTGATGGCCTCAAGCAATTCATTCAACTTAGCCGAGGAAGAGGAACAGGTCTTCCTTGAGAATCTATGGTCTACATACTTTGCAGTGATAAACTCTTTGCGTACAGTCCTAAAATAGAACAAAACAAAATAAATTTTTTTTAGAGTTAAGAAAGATTTTACATTTTCTGACAAACATTTCTGAGAAGTTATTCTAATTGAGCTATCCTTCTTTCAAACAAATCAGGTTTTAGATCAAATTACTCCAGGAGAGAAGAAGGAAGGGACTAATATTTATGTACTACTATATGTAGGTAATACACACAGTTACAAAATTAACGGCCACAAATACAGATTCTTTTCCATTTTGACCTAAGCCTACAGCTTGAGATTTCTATTAATACTTCAAACATACATATATATATATAAATATATAAATATATATAAAAAGATATATAAATATATATATAAATAAAGAAAGAAATTTAAAAAATTTAAATCCTGAAAGATTAAAGTTTTAGAGCTTTGTGGAAAGGACTCTGGACTTCTGGTATAGCCCCTAACTTTACAGGTGAGGAAACTGAGGCTCAGAAAGGCTGTCTGTCAGTAAAGCAACTCCCACAGGCCAGCGCTGAGCTGCACAAGGACACACGAGCTGCCTTCCCCAGAGGTTTCAGGCTGGGAGAGCAGCCTGCTGTGGACAATGTGCTGCGTGTGTGTGGGTGCGGGGTGTTTCTCTCTTTCTTGATGCACTGCCCTCTCCGCTTCAGTTCCAGGTGTTTCCCGTGGCACCTAGCCTGCCTCCCAGGGGTGAGACTGTAACCCAAGTGGCCCGGCAGTTTCTCCTGCCACCTTCGGGAGAGGCCTGAGATGGAGTCAGCTCCAAGAAAAGGACAGACAAGGACAGGGAGAGAAAACTGGGTCCAGACGACATTGACTTCCCAGACCCAGCTTCCACCCCTGCAACTTCCCAGGCACATGAGCTGATTAAGAAAAAAAAAGTACATAGAGTTTGGGTTCAAATCCTAATTTTATAGCACGCCAGCTGTTTGACCCTGAGCAAAATATGGAATTATTATGAGTTTCAGTTTTATTCACATGGAAATGGGGACAATCCAATGGTATACTGTTTTTTTCTGAATTTTATTTTTTACTAGTACATGTTTGTAGTACATAAGGATCACAATCTTTGCAAGGAGCTGTTATAGGCATGACACATTTACATTCTTTTTCATGCTCCCTTCCCTCCGCTCCATCTCTCCACTGTGTATAAATACTATTCCCAAAGTCAAAACTAGGAAAGGACCCAACCAAATCAGAGAATTACAGGTCAATCTCCTTAATGCACAGAGGCAAAAATCTTCGACATCTGCAACAAGATACTGGAAAACAATGTAACAAATCATCAAAAAAAATTACACATCATGATCAAGTTCATCCCAGAGATGTAGGGATGGTTCAACATACACAAATCAGTAAATGTGCTATATCACACAAACAGAAATAAGGACAAAAATCTCTTAATCATCCCAATTGATGGAGAAAAAGCCTCTGACAAAATCCAACATCCATTCCTAATAAAACCCCGAAGAAAAGAGGTATGGAAGTACCTTATCTCAATCTGATAAAAGCCTTTTATGACAAACTGATAGGCAACATCATTTTGCATTTTTAGGTGGCCCATGTATTTATTTATTTTATTTTATTTTTTTAGGGAACATCATATTTTAAATGGTGGAAAAGCTGAAAGTTCTTCTAAAATCAGGAACAACACAAGGATGTCCACTTTCGTAACTACTGTTCAACACAGTCCTTGAAACACTAGCCAGAGCAATCAGGCAAGAGAAAGAAATAAAATAGATATGTATACAGGAAAGGACGAAGTTAAATATGTATTTGCAGATGACATGATTCTCTACACAGCACACCCCAAAATTCTACCCAAAGACTCCCAGAATAATCAAGTTGAGGAACTTGTACTGTAGCAGGGCACAACACCAACACACAGAAATCAACAGTGTTCCTATACACCAATAACGAGCTCAGTGGTGCGTTCTGAATTACAGAATATACAGCACCTAATAGATGCTTCCTTCTTTCCCAGAGGGCTCTGATATAAGGGACATCACATTTTTTGCTCAGAAATAGACTTTGAGGGAGAGTATTAGAAGTGAGATTCACGGCAATGTGCCTTTTACTATAATAAAACTTTTAAATTAGAAAAAACCCCAAGGGCCGGGGATTTAGCTTAGTGGTTTCGCACAAGTGCAAGGACCTCAGTTCAATCCCCGGTACCAAAAAAACCCCCAAAACCCAGCATTTTCCCTCGTGGTAACTGCTGTTGTCTCCCATGTTCCACAGCTAGGCAACACTTCAAAACTATGGCGAGGCCTCTTTCATTCATTCTGCATTGGCAGTCATGAGGGTCGAGCTCTTTTTCTCAACCCAGTGTGAGGTGAGCTGCTGATCCAGCTAAGTAACCAGGTCTTACACTCATGGGTGTCTTTCACATTTAGGTCAAGGTCCTTTTAGGATGGCCGTTAACTCTGATGTGTTAGAAGGCTTCCAGACAGCCGGCCTATGCTTGGCTTCCAGGTCTCCTGCTATATGTGAGGCATCAGACTTCGGAAGTACACGGTTTGCTGGATGTGGTAGTGCACGCCTGTAATCACGGCACTCTGGGAGGCTATAGCAAGACTACAAGTTCAAGTCTAGCCTGGGCAACTTAGTTACCTGGTAAGATCCTGTCTCAAAACACAAAATAAGAAGGACCGAGAATGTAGCTCAGCGTGAAGGTTCAATACCCAGTAGAGTAAGAAAAGGGGGAGAGAATTGAATGGATTTAAGTTTTGCTATCTAGGGGACCCTGGATAAATTAAACTCCTGCTGTACCTCAGTTCCTCATCTGTGAAATATTAGTAATCATATCTGCCTTACTTACTACTGTCCAAGGAAGCAGGAACAGAAGGGACAAAGAATGACGCACGGTTAAGGGTGCACCTGGAAAAATCCTTCCGACGCCTGCCTGAGGGCACAGAACTGAACAAGTGCTCTAGCACCAAGCTACATCCCAGCCCTGAGAGGGGAGAAGCAGGGCTAAGGACAGAAGTGTGGGAGACAGCTCTTTCTGTGTGTTACGCTAAGCTCCAGGAAGCTCTGGGTGCTGTTTTGCCAGAACTCCCCTAAAACCTTAATTGTAAATTCAGTTAAAAAGCTTTGGAATGAATTCACAGATTTACACAGCTCAAAACTAAAAGCGATTATCAAACAGTACTTAATTCGGAAAACACCACGCCCATTCCTCCAGCCCAGAGGACACATTTTTGTTAGTTTCCTGTGTGATTTAAGCAAACACAAGTCCAAAAAAGAGAGAACTATATAAACACATTCCCCACTAGTTGAATCTATTTGGGTTCTGAGTCCAGGTGGTGGGTAGTGAAAGCCCCGTGAGTCTGCATCACGAAGGGATGTGTGCTTTCCTGCCCCCCAGCACCCTCCCTTCCCCAAAGCCGGTTTATTTTGTACGGTGCTCTCCCCCTGCTTTTCCATTTTGTTAAACAGTAACCCTGGAGATCATTTTGAATCAGGAGAGAGGATGCTTGACTCTTTTACACATCTGCGTAGTGCTCCACTACATGGCTGTACCACCGAGAATTTACTCAGACGTTGTAAGTAGATCTTTTCCTGTTAAAGAACATGAATACATTCTGAGGACTGGGCTAGCTGAGTCGGAGGGTAAGATTTATGATTTTGGTAAACACAGCTCCTGAGTTTTTACCCTGTGCCAGTTTGCAGCCCTGCTGGAAGCACAGCAGATATCTGTCCTCCTGAAGACCTGTGCGTCACAGAGCAGGCACTCAGCTGCCCCTCCAAGGAAGGTGATGGCGACAACCATCTGTGCAGTCCAGAAACACTCAAAATACTCTGCTTTGGGCAGGAGATTTAGCTAATGGCACTGCACCTGCCTTGCAAGCACAAGGTCCTAAGTTTAATCCCCAGTACTGCAAAAAACAAAACAAAACAAAAACTCTGCATTTCCCTGATAACTGGAAAAAATATTGTAACTACCAGGGAAAGCTCTTGGGGATAGAAAAAGTTACAGGATGGTAAAGAATTCAATATTAGAAATACTTACATATCACTTGAAGGGGTGGGCTTGGGTGAGGGGCTGGGTAAATTTGCTTCCATAATTTCATTAAAACTATTGTTTCCTACATTCTTGGCCAGCTGTAACATAAACAAAACACAATACAGTAAGCTCTTTGCTACTTAAATTTCTATTATTTGCTTTGAGATTTCTGAATCTCCATCTTCCTTCATTTGACTTGGGACACAAACCATCCACCCGTCTGGTCAGTAAGAATTTACTAAGCATCTTCCACACACCAGGCACTAAGTTGGTTAATGCTGTAAATGAGCAAACCTTGTTGAGTCTAGTGGGATTGAGCCACTAACAAGAAAATTAGTGACATCTACAGATATAATGTGATAAATGTCAGCTGGAAGAGGTCTGGCCCTTACACAGGTACTAAGTACAGTATGTGAGATTACTCCAAGGCTAAACTCTTAATGAACAGTAACAGATCACTGGCACATTTCCTTTCCATACTGACCAGATTCACTCCTAGAGGGTAGAAAAAAAGTGGATTCATTTAGATTTAGGAATAGGTTAAGAGGCTACAAGTAACACAGAGGGGGACCTAGGATTGTCCTGCAAAGCTTTTGGTCACTTGCTCCCCAACCCTCCAAGTACTGGGGACTGAACTCAGGGCCTTTGCACTGAGCTACATTTCCAGTCCTTTCTTATCCTGAGGCAGGGTCTCACTAAGTTGCCCAGGCTGGGCTTGGACTTGTGATCCTCCTGCCTCAGCCTCCCAGAGTGCTGGGATTATTTCTGAGTGTGTACCACCAGGCCTGTCTTTTTCGTTTTTTTTTTTTTTTTTGGTGCCAGGGATCGAACTCGGGTCCTTGAGGCCTGTCTTTTTCTTCTTAAGGGTGTCACGATATAGTCTAGGCTACCTTTGAACTTGAATTCGCTATGTAACCTAGGCTGGCCTCACTCACAATATGCAGCAGCTTCCCAAGCACTGCGATGAGAGGTGTGCATACCTGGCTTCATTCACATAATTTAGAAATTAATGCAAAATTAAAAAAATATACTAGATTGTCAACTTTTTTTGAGTTCCTGTTCACTTAAGTTGTGCTCAAGCATGACTCCTCTGAGGATTTTTATTTTATCTTAAAAATTCTCCTCTTTCAGTACAAAGAGTCTCTCAGAGTACAACAGGGTCAAAATTTTGCAAGAGAGGGTTTACGATCACAAGGGATCACGGGGGATGCCAAGCACACCTTCTGTCCCTTCTGTTTTCTGTATGTGTTTTGAAGCAGTGGGGTTAACCTGGGCCTCATGAGGGCTGCACATTTGGATGAACCACGATGGGAAGGGAAGAGTTTCAAGAAAAACAAAACATTCATAACTTTTTTTAATATTATAAAGCTAAATACCACAAATTCACACAGTTTACTCCCCTACCACATAAAGAATTTCTGGGTTAAGGATAAACTGGTTTTATGACAATAGTTAACAGGGCATTCCCAATTCATATACACTTTAAAACAGAGAAAATCTTTTTGCCATTATTTTTAATAACATAAGCCACTAGGTACTGTGAGCATATGATTTTAACCAGTGTTATAATGAATTCTACAAAAACTAATTCTCAAAAAAACAGCTGTGAAGGGCCATACAAAAAGAAAAGAGCTAACGTTAAACATTATATATCACAAAAGTTAAATTTTAAATATTTAAGCAACTTTATAAAATTCAGAAATTAGAGGGCTGGGGATGTAGCTCAGCAGCACTGCGCCTGTCTGGCAAGCGTAAGGCCCTGAGTTTGATTCCCTGTGCCAGAAAAAAAAAAGAAATTAAAATTAGAATTTCTTGCACTCATCAGAAACAACACACTCAAAGCAACACATTAAACATATTCATAACAACAAACTTAAAATACTCTTCCAAAGTTCGGTCATGACTTACCAAGAGTTCAGAAGTTCCTAATTTGTCTAGTTCCAAAGACTGAATTCGAGAGATATGAACCCCCATCTCCCTATGGATGCCAGAACATTCTATACAGGTCAGAATACCCAAGTTGGTCGAAAGCCACGTAGGTTCTGTGGGAAGGATTTAATGAAACAAACAAGATATTTAATTTAGTGTGCCATCTACAGAAGATGCTAAAATAGGAGTCAAATTTGTTAAAAATTCTTATGAGGGAAGAAGTGAAGTGGAAGACATAGATACAGGTGGCTTAGCCTAGGAGTCATTATAAGTTTTCCTTCAGTACTGAATCCAAAATGAAGCCCTTTATCCTTGTAAAAATGCAAAATGACCCTTCCTCACAGACCCCAGCTCCCCTGGGAGGGGACCCTTTACTAGCACTCTCATCTCTGACAGTGCAGGACTTCAAGGCCTACTAAGTGCTATTTGTAAGGGACTGGACACTAAGGTTGTCATAAACTTTCCAGTTACAACCAGCTCTAACACATCATTCTTGGTTACAGCTTCCCCCAAAGGACCTCTTGGTAGTAAGACAGTTGTAAATACTGACCACAAATACTTCTTTCAGTGGCCCAGACTTTCCTGCTAGAATTTAAAAGGGCCAGAATAGTGGGAACAATGACTACTTCTATGCCACTAACACCTGCAGGGTTCTTGGTGTCATTTCTTCTTGATAGGTGAATATCTGAGTATTTACTACCTCTCTGCCATTTCCTCACCTTGTGTGAGTCACTACCACTTTCATACCTGAAAAGTCTAGACAACCTGAGATCTGAGAGGCCTGTGGGACCCTGTGCAGTGAAGTGCAGTGCTGCCAGCAGAACAGTAAGTATGCAGCAGTGCCTAGGGACACTAGGTCTGCATCCCTGTGCTGATCCCTACGAGACGTGTGACCCTGTGAAAATCACTTTGTTTCTCTGACCTCCAGTATCTTCATCTGTAAAGTGGGGACAATATTAATTAGTATCTTGCTCACAGAGCTTCGATGAGGATTCACTATGGTAACATAAACAAAACACCCAGCATAATCCTTAGTATAGCGGAAACAATAAATGTGAGTTGCTGCCAATAACTTGGTAATATATGAGGTTTCTGGAAATGTAAGTGCATGGGAAGGTGCTATCACTATGGTCAGAGGTTGGGCAGGGTTCTCACGCACAGGAAGGAAGGAAACGCATGTCAGCTGATTTCATAGGCACCATTTCATTAAGTCCTTCCAGTAGGATCCCATTTTAAGGATGAGAGGCTGCAGCTCAGAATAAAGGGACTCAGTATGAGAATGTCCAGGCTGTGAATGGCAGACTCGTAGACACCATGTTCTGTGCTCTCCTCAGTGTGCCCGAGGTGGTTACTTAACTGTGCCTGTTAGGAAAGGGGGTGCTGCAGCAGATAGCACTGGGAGATCAGTGGGAGATGTTCAGGTAAAGAAGTGCTAGGGGTACATTTCGGGTGTCTGTCTAAGTGTGCCTAAGAGGTAAAGCTTTTAGGTACGTAGCTCATAGCTCATTTCATACTCTACGGGTGGAAAGAAGGTATGTTACCAAGCTATTCAAGCAGGGAGATGAATACCTGATGAACCACAGTCACAGCAGACATCATTCCCAGGGAGCCGCTGGACATCCTCGATGATGGCTTTTGTCAGATCTTCCAAGCTGTTCTCTCCTGCGCTCTGCTCACCTCGGAAGGCCATGTTTAGGGCCTCTTCTTTGCTATTTGTCAATACTGATATCCACCTGTCGTCAAAATACCAGAGGGAGGAAGCCGTCACAAGGACACAGCTGCTGTCTTCTCCCTCACTGCAAAGTCTTTCCTCAGAGGTTCCAAAAGAGAACCCCCTCTCCCCAAATAGCAATAAAGTGAGGAAAAATGGCAGAAATTAAACTCGAAAGAGCTGAAGAATGGAAAGTGACACACAGGAGAAATGATTAGCAGCAGAAGCAGGTGTAACTGAGGACTTGCAGAAACACAACACGAGGTACTATTTCCATGAGAACAGGGCAAGGAGATGTCAGAACGAGAGGACAGGGAGAACCGACCCAATCAAGGGATTAGAGTCAGTGAATGGCATCTGTTCTCTAGGAGCTCAAGTCTGCGGGAACACTGGAAAGTGAAAATGAAGGGATATTTTATTAGCAGCCATAAAAATTTACGCTTATGCAGAAAGCACATTCACATGGAAGCATTCTGACGTTTATCACATGAAACGGGGAGCACAGCCACTGAATTCTGTACAAGGCAAAAGCATCACACGTGCTACACAAAGCCCTTTGCTACCAGTTTGTGCATAAGCAACAAAATCCCATAACACGGTGGGTGTTGACTGATAAAGGTCAGACACAAAGCAGAAAGGTTTAGCGAGCATTAAAATGAAAACTTTAAATAATTCTCAAATGATACTGGTGAAATCATCACAATATTTCTTGTGAAACAGGAAAAAAACCCGTTACATCATCTCAAAATTAAACACATGTATTTGTAAATCATGCATTTGTTTGGAAAAATGTCGGAAGGAATTTCCCTAAAATGTTAATATTGGTTGTTGCTGAGTGATTTTCTTTAGAAAAAAATTTATTGGGGAATTGCTTGTTTCTGTGCTTTTCTATCATTTTTCAAATCTAAAATGAAACTGTATTACTTTCATGAATGAGGAAAAAAATCCCAACTTTATAGTTTTTTCATTTATTGCACAGACAGCCAATACTTGCTCTCAATCGGTAATACCGATGATTAGAATGAGGGCTGTTTATCTGGCACACTGCAGGATAAATGGATATATGGATATGAGGCACAATACTATCTACACAAAGTGCTGAATTAGCAGCAGCGACAGCACCACAAAACCCAACTGCTGGAAGATGAGGCGCCATGCTGCACATCCGACTCTAGGTGGCGCTCTGTACTCAGCTTCGCTTCACTGGGATGCAGGACACGGAACACTTGGGAACCAAATGTAGGAATGGGTGGGGTTCATGACGCATTTGAAATTAAATAATACTTGATTATTCAGACTCAAGTTAGAAATTAGAAACTTTTGTTGAAAACACTGAGGAAACTGTGTCCAACAGGACCAAGCACTCTGGGTGATTTCACTGGCCATGCTTGGCGACTACAGTCTCGATTCTGGCTTCCTTGGACACTGCCTATCTGGTCACCTAATGTGAACCGGGATCTCCTGCGTCTCAAGTACTTACAATTTTGAAACAGAATTCTCCAAGTCTCTGGGTTAGGGTTTAAAACACCTTCAAGAAGAGGAATTGGGGTGGGGGGAGGAAATTGGGAACTAGGAAGTTATACAGCTTGCCCAAGGTCCTACAGCCAGACTGTGTCAGTCCAGGAGGAAGTCCCACTTCTCCTGATTCGCTTTGCAGAATTATACCACATTTGCCTCTTTATTCTGGAGTTCATATTTTCAAAAAAGAAGAGTTTGTTGTAATAATCAGAAAAAATATATCTATAGCACATTTTTCCAGAGAAAGTGCTTCATATTTGTTGGAATGAAATAGCCTCATTTCAAAGGGATTAAGAATCAAAGTGACTCTCACTAACAATACTTTTTAAATTTTAAAATACTTTTAAAGTAACAGGCACCACGCGTGGTGGCACATGCCCATAATCCTAGCACATCTGGAAGGCTAAGGGAAGAGGATCTTGAGTTTAAGGCTTGCCTGGGCCACATGAGTTCAGCGTCAGCCTGGACTATAATGCAAGACCTCATCTCAGCCAAAACTAACAGGCTCACCAGAAAGTGTAAGAGCATATTATATTTTAAAACTTTAAAAGTCACTCTGACTTTCAAAATAATAAATTGCCACGGTGCTAGGACGGTTTCACACATTTTATCTTCACTCTCAAAAGATCTGCAAGCGAGACATAAAATCACCTACTCACTTGCCGACCCTCAGCAGTCTACTGAGGGGGAGACAAGCCAGATGATCTGCCTAAGGCAAAAAGCCATTAGTCAGGAGAACCTGGACAAGCGGCCAGGCTGCTGGGCATTAAAACAACCTCCCTCCTTGGTGACAAGGAAATTTATTCATTTAATTTCACTGGACACTTTCTTGTTCTTTCTTGAGTCAAGGTCTTGCTATGTAGTTGACGATGGCCTTGAACTCACTGTGTAGCCCAGGCTGGTCTCAAACTCCCAGCAATTCTCCTGCCTCAGCCTCCCAAGTGCTGGGATTACAGCAGCATGCCCAGATTTTCACTGGATACTTTCACAGGGGAAAGAAAGTCAACAGTGCAGTGAAAATGTCTTTATAAAAACCTGGCTTCCCTCGGGCGCATGTGCTGTCCTTGTGTACCATGCCATTACTTTCTATATCATCCAAGTGAAGCCTCTCATCATCACCAGCACTGTCACTCAATGTGCAAAATGGGCAACAATTTTGGGATGAACCAAGCAACCTTTTTACTGAACAGTGGTAAGTCCTACAGGCAGGAAACCAGTATCTCTAACAAAAGTGGGACTGAACTACCTATAAGACCTAAGAGAAAATAAGACATTCAAGACCTGGGTTTGAGATAGAAGGGAACAAAGACAAAGTGGATGCTTTCCCTGCCTCAAAAAATTTGTCACTAGTCTTTCACATAGAGCTTTGAGGAGGAGAAAGAGAAAAGAGAAAGGGAAGCAATATTCTAAGGCGGTTTTGTAATTCTGTTAGGGTTGAGGACTCTCACCATGGGGATTCTTTGGCTCTATCTTCATTTTTAAACTAAGGATCAAAGACCCTACTCAAGGGAGTCATGAGGATCAACACAGCATGATCTCAAATATTAGCACTCCCTGAATCTGTGGGTGGCAGGCGCAGACCTCCTGAAGCCGCCTTTCTTATTTGGCGCCTAGTCGCTCTCTGGCTTGCCAACTCTGTGCCCACAGTATTAATCCATCAGTCCCTTTCTTCTGATTCCATCCTGTTGCTTCTTTCGGCTGTCAAGACTTCATGCTTGGAGGGCAGAGGATCTGCCCCCTTTCCATACCTTCTGGAGCCAGCTCAGGCTTACCTTCCTCTAGGAATTCTTCTCTAACAACAACCCCGAGAACGGGAGAGGACACGTGCCCCACCACATGGCCTCTTACCTTTGTGCTCAGCATGCGCACTGTGTCACACTGCTGGTGTCCTTCTGCAGGGCGGGAGCCCCATCTGATTTAATTTTGTATTCTCGGTGCTGCACAGTTCTTGGCATTTAGTTGGCATTCATTAAATAACCAAATAGATGAACAGATAAATAGACCTTGCTTCTCTGTAGAGCTTGCTTTCGTTTTTGCTGTTCCTCCCAACAGTACATGCTTTCTACTCATTTCCTGTTCTCTTTCTGGTCCCTTCATCCAGTAGTGGCAAACCTATAGCATGTTATCACTGAGAGTTCTAAAAGGCTCGCCGCTCGCTTCGCCATCATAGCGTTCTCTCTGAGATGGGGAAAGAGTACAGCACTCCCGAGGAGCACGTGAGGGAGAGGAGGGAAAAGGGGAGTATAAGGCAAAATGGATGTGAATGGAATTCCATGGCTCTCCACAAATAAGGAAGGAAAATAGCAGCTGGGTGTCAGCGATGGGCCAGGAACTCTTGTAGTTCATGACACTTGGTCCCACACAGTTGACAAATAGGAATAATGTGAATCCCACAGAAAAGGTTGCCTACTTGAACACCAATGTAAGCTGCTGAGAATGGGAGTCGCCCACTGCTGTTCATGGTCCAGGCAGGCCCAGGACGGAAGAGGACTGCCTCCTGGCAGTGTGGGAGACCAAGCTGGATCTTTCCACTGCACTTGGCTTCATTTAACTCTGCTACACCTGCCCCAGGCAAAGAGGCTGCCAATATTCTTCCTTCAAGGCCAAGTTCGCTGCTCTGTTCACAAGGACAGCCCAGCAGCCAGCCAGACCAGCTCATTCATTTGACCACCAGTCATTCAGCAAGTGCCTCTTCCATGTAGGTAACAAGATTAAAAGATGAATAAGGCATTGCCCTCGTTCTCAAGAAGCTGCTGGCTCCAGGAAGCTGTGGACATGTACTGGAGCACCAGAGAGTGGTGTGAAGCTCACGGGCAGAGAGGAGGGAGCAGCAATGTCAGAACAGTGGGGCTCAAGATGAGTCTTGCAGGAAGCACTGAGTTCATGAGGACACAGCGCAGGGCACTCAGACAAGGAGAAGAGCAAAGCATGAAGGCCCAAAGGTGGGAAAGAAGCATGCAGAGGTGCCAGGAGTAAGTGCTATGGCTGCTTTTTCAATTTAAGTCCTTAAACCATTATTTCAAAACTACTTACGCTACATAATCCTGCTCATCTTCTGCCTGAAAGTGATAGGTCCTGTTATCTAAAATACAAAAAGAAAAAAAGTGAAACCGCAGAAAATAAACCGCCTTAAAGCATAATGTAGATTTTGGAAGTTCCCACAAAGGCTGGGGAGGGAGCGAAGTTGTAGAGCACTTGCCGAGCACCTGGGGGCCCAGCTGAGAGAAAAACCAGTTTCTGGGGCAGCTGCCTGGTCAGGAATTAATATTATTTTTTTACCACTATATTTTAGCAGCTGAATAGTTCACTTTGTCAACATGATTTTTTAAAGTACAAGAGGAATACTATAGAGTAAAAGACCATGCAGACAGGAGGTACCTCTCTTGGAACAGTGAGAAGGGTCCCGCCCAACCCAGGTGGCCTCAGAGACACTCGGGCGGGCGCCTCCACCTTTGTGCAGAAATTCTTTCCCCATACTGGGCCCGACCTGCAGGGCAGCTCTGCAACTCTGCCCAGACTTTGGTCTGGTCTCTGGTTGAATCAGACTTCGAGGAAGAAAGGATTGACCTCTGCTACCCAGGAGGGGAAAGAGAGGCCCAACTTGGATATTTTGGATGGAGTGTCCTTCAGTGAAGTGCTTTCTTAAAACTCAAGATATCCAAGGATGCTGTAACATTTTCACACGGTTGCTAGTAGGCACTCATGCCCTTCATCTGTGTGTGTGATGGGGGTGGGGGGGAGTGATAAAGAGAGGGAGAGAGAGAGAGAATCAAGGAACACACACAGACAGCAGTACTTGAGTGCCTCGGCTGAATCCCTGCTTACTGCTGAATGGCCTTGCCCAGTTCACTGAGCCTGTCTGGGTCTCACTTTTTCTCCTGCAAAATGGGAAACTGACAGGGCATTACTGAAAATTAGCAATAATGTATAGAAAGCACCTGGGACATTTAGATACTCAATAACTTGCAACTACTAGTAATAACCTACACCTACAGGTTCTCAATTCTAGGGGTTCTTGGTTTTTTGAAGTCATATTATTAATTTCAGCTTTACATATTTCATGCTTCTCAATAACCCAAGAAATCTCTTGGTCATTAAAGTCACGGGGGACCTGAACTTCACAGAGATGCTGCAGAATCCAGCTCAGACTTTATGAAAACAGCCTCACAAGCTGACTCATACTTTTGGGTCAGGACTGTATTTGAGCTTCCATTCATGCAACTGGATCAAAAGGATTTCAAGGCCAGAAAGTATGTTGTGGCTCTACAGGTCATGCTCCCCGGCTGCTGGCCTCCTTGCTGGGCTGATACAGAAGGAGCAGTGCTTAAGGCTGGTGTCGCAGGGCCTTGGGATAAGGTGAGGCTACTTCCCCGGCCCTGGTCCCCTCTCCCTTTAGAAGGCGGTGTCCTTTCAGCTACAGTGGGGCCAGCAGGTGTGCAGCCCCACTGTAGGTCCCACGTGGGTGGCTCCTTATGCTCTTGTCACGGGTGAAAAGCAAACTCTGTGCTTGGGAGTAAGGAAGTGAGGGGATGCAGTGACACCAGCTCATGACATTTAAAGGCAACTGCTGGCAAGCAAGATTATTTTCCCTTCAAGAGCCTGACTTTGCAGAGATGAATTCTGGGGGAATTTCCTGAGTGGACACAGTGGACAGCTGCACTCCCTAGTCTACATCAGCGCTTCTTCACCACAGGTGCTCATCAGAAGCACCTAGGGGCTTCCACAAAGTCCTGTCCAGGCCTCATGTCAATTGCCTGTATTTCAGCAGACGTAGAAGAGAACTGTGACTATACTCAGAAATAACTCTCCAAGGGAACGAAGGTATATATTCATAGTCAAGGACTGGAGCAACTGAACATACAGATTCTGCTGACGTTCTACACATTTTCAGATCTGACACTGCTATGCCTTCCCCACTGTAAGTGCGTTCAGTGCAAATGAAGACAACAAAAGAGGCTGGGTGTCCTGGCACACACTTAGGCCCAGGAAGGCCAGCCTGGGCAACACAGCAGTACTTTGTCTTGAAAAAGTGGGGGAGAAGGGGACAGAGAGGGAGAAAAAGAGAGCACAAAAGGGAGGGGGAGGGGGAGGGGGAGAGAGACAGACACAGACAGAGGGAGACGGAGTCTCTGCGGACTCTTCTCCAGCTGTGCACGCAGGAATAAGAAGCAGCTGTTCCAGCAGTGAGGAACCCAGTTTGGAAAAGTTGCCACTTCAATACTCAGAGAAGAGAAATGCACAGACGTCGGGCGCCCCAGTAACTGATTCAAAAAGATTTTTTAAAAAGGACTCACGTGATATCAGGTCAAAGGATTTCTTGTCCTCAGCATTTGGCTTCACCTGGCAGGTGAGAAGGTTCAGCTTGGCTGGCTGCCTATTGGACTGGAGAGAGACAGAGAGACAGAGAGAGAGGGGTTATGTGCAGGTTCTGTGTCCACAGAGGGGCAGTCTGTTCACGAGGTGTGTTCAGGGACAGAAGGATACACTTTTATCAAGGAAGAAGGCACCCACCTGGGCATCATGCCAAGTTTAAAGTGAGAATACACAGATCTACACATACTCAGGCACACAACTGGCACTTTCAAAACTGTATCTTAGGTTGGGCATGGTGGCACACACCTGTAGTCCCAGCACTCGGCCAGCCTGGGCTACATAGGGTTCAAGGCCAGCCTGAACTACATAGTGAGACTCTGTCTCAAAAAAATAAAAAAAGTATCTTACTGTGAAATGTAGCTGAGTGTATTACACTCACTAAATCAGGAGTCATCCTGATTAATCCTCACTAATCAATTATTCCAAGCCTGATGTCCAAGTATCCATCAATTTTGGTTGCAATGCAAAGTGACATGACTTCCTTCAAAGTACAAGGGCAATTATCACCTCCAAGTTGTTGCTTAATGAGTTCCAGCCTGGAGAGAAGGAGACTATGACGTCAGTACATCTCTAGATCATACACGTTAAGCAGACCCGATGGTATCTGGACAGTCATGCTAACTCAAGCAGTCTCACCTGTAAGCACTCTGGCCCTCCTGCCTGCTCCTGTCTAAGGTCACACGCTCTCAAAACTCACCCCAGGGTCCTTGCTCCCTACAGGGACCAACAGAAGTTAAAGAGCTGTGTGGGAGCCCGAGCTGGGCTTTGCTTGAACAGGAGAAGCCTGCGGAAGTAAGCAATGGAACTCTCTGGTGTTATGTGCATGCTTGCTTCAACTGACACTCACAACACTAAACATCTTCACATTTCCATTTCCACCCAAGGGATGGAAGTTTTAACAGAGAGAGGGCGGGAGGGGACAGAGAGTTCACATCAGTGAACCAACCAAAGCCTGAAATGAGAAATGTGATATGGTCAAGTCAGTTTCATCAGCACCCTGGATCTCTCCTAAATAATGGGCACTGGACAACTAATTTCTGTTTACCTTCCTGTGTTCTCTGAACCATTTTTGAGATCCTTCCCGTTCTGTGATTTTGATGAAATTAAACACAGAATGTCCTTTATTCCATATCCATCTGGAAGAAAACCATCTCAGAGAGACTTCATGATCGCTACATGTACCTCTGATTTAGGGAACTAGCAGTAAAGTACAGGAGTTTTGCCTAGGAGGAAACCGTGCTCGGGAAAGGATTCCTGTGTTACAGAACTGGCTGCTGAGCCCAAAAGGGCAGGCAGGAGTACAGGGGCCACGCATGTCTCAGAACAGACCTGGAGTTGGGGTTGCAGGGCATTACACTCCAGAATCAGCATCTGCAGCCACAAATGTAGGCCCAGTCCACACTGAAAGGAACTGTTTGTCTTACATTGCATCTTTTTGGATGTGGATAAAATCGCCGGATTTCCTATGTGAATGACAATGACATATGACTGCCTGAGAAGGAAGGACCCCAGTGAATGGTGAGACTTGTTAAAATATTGTGCTCCACTTTGGAATCCACATTTAAAGAAGGATGGGGAAAAGCTTAGGGAGATCGAGATGATTAAAGGGGTAGGGAATGGAAACTCTGAAGATGGGTTAAAGGCATTACTTAGTCCAGAGGAAGAAGGCTGGGGGTGACTTAACAACCATCCTCAAGTACACAGACATTGTTATTGGGAAGCCGAGGCAGCTGTTTTCCATTTGTACAAACAAAAAGAAAGGCATTCAAATTGTAGATTTGGGCCAGATGGAAGGAAGAACTTCCCAAGCTTGCTTATGTTGATTATGCATATAAGAGGTTTCAGAATTCTTAAGAAATCTCTGAAAAACTTGAGAATTTTTAGCCTATTCACATTTGAATGTGGCAGAGGGTTAATGCCTTTATTTTTCTCTAATCTGGCATTCTCTGGCTATCTCTTACCAACCGATACACCAAGCTATAGATACAAAATCTTTTTTTTCTTTTTTCCTGGTACTGGGTGATCAAACTTGGGACCTTGTGCTTGCCAGGCAGGCACCAGAACCACTGAGCTAAATCCCCAGCCCCTAGATACAAAATCTTAAGGAAAAAAAAAAAAAAAAAAAGCCACTCAGCTTACTATCACCTCTCATTTTTAAGCACTGACTATCTCCGAGTATTCTGGTGGGAAATTTTTGACGACGAGGGTTCCATACAGTTTAAGTCATTCCATGACTGACCCACAGCCTCAGTGTGAGAACACATAGATTTAGAGGTTTGTCGAGGTCACTGAACTAATGGTTTGCCACACTTGCATGAACCTCATTTGACACGGACACATCCTACACAGTGCTCTTCCCCAAGCTGAGTTGCCAGTGAGGCATCTGACAAGTGACTCATCATCCTAAACATGATGTTATAGGAGTGAAGAACACAACTTTTGACCAAGTAGCTGACACACCCAATGATGAGCCCAAGAACATCAGAAAAGGGAACGGTACATTCGATCAAAGTCCAAAGACCAATGCCTTACAAGCATGGAAATCACTACGGTAATAACAGTAATTCCAGATGTTTGTATAACTTTCCAAATTTCAAAGAACTTTCTGGACATCTAGTTCTAAATTATAGGTATATTGATTAAAGAAGACATAATCTTTCCTGGGGTTTCAGCAGACTGAAGTAAAACTAAATGACTTGCCCTGGGCTACATCATGGTGGGAGAGTTTAGAAAATGCTTTCATATTGTTCTAGTGAAGGAAAAAAGAAAAAAAGAAAAACTTAGGCAGTATCAGTGTATCAAGTTCTTGCTGTTCATGATTTCTACCTCATTCAGAATAAAAGTCCAAGTCTGCTCCCGTCCTCCGGGACCCACACAGGGCCCTGTGCCGCACGTCCTCCCGCAGCCTGACTTCCTTCAGGGCTCTCAGCACCAGCGTGTCCACAGAGGGGGGCTCCAAGCCCACTGACCCACTGCGGTGCAGCCTTTTGTACCCTCTGTACTTCTTCTTGGCTCTGCTCACTCCTTATTTCTTGTCTTTCTTCCCAGTAAGGGCACACATTGATCCCCCTCCCCCCCCCAAAACACACCAGGCATACAGCAGGTACTCAAATGTTTATCAAACAGAACGACCACTCTCCAGGTACCTTCCATGTGCTCTCACTACTCCTTGGGAAGGAAGTCTTTAGCCCTCGGGAACAGAGAGCCTGAGTTAGCCCCCTAAGATCTCCCAGGAGGAAAGCAGTGTGGAAGGGTCAGAGCCCACTCCTATCTTGCTCTCACTGCACAGAGCACAGCTTGGAAAGACAGTGACACAACAGGCTTGGCACTGGGGATTCCCAGGACAAGGTCTCCTCAGAGTCTAAGGGTTGGAAGGAAATACAGAAAAGCTGCAGACTGACTTCTACTTCAGTATCTTCTCAGGTGGTCCGATACTCACCAAGTGCTTACTCTCACAACCGGAAATAACTACTCATCCACAAGCACATCTGAGACACTCGTGGTCAGCGGTACCCGGCCTCTCGGAAGCAGAGCTGCCCATGCTCCTAAGCACATGCAGTGTGCCCAGGAGTCGTGGGGCCTGAGGTCGTGGTGTGCACGAGACCTCAGACCAGGCTCCACAGAGATAGGCTGGGCCTTCAAGATGAACTGGGAGAAACTATTCGGTATTTATACATGTGTGTCCTATTTATTTCAGAGTATTACCTCAATGTGCATCCACTTAGCTATAAATGTCTCTAATTTCTCATTTTTTATGGCTGAGTAGTACTCCATTTTATTAAAAAACCAC